ATTTTGACGATAAATTAGATCTTAAAACAAGCCACAAGCCAAAAGGGATAAAGAAATTTTGAACTTGACTTGACTTTTAACAAGCCGACAAATAATCAATATCGTTTATATGTAATATGTAAGCACCATTGCGTCATCTGTAATAGTTAAAATATATAACAGACATGATTTTTGCATCATTTTTCAAATATTCATCAAAACGACAAAAAATAAATTTTACGTTTTTCTATCGTTAATTCAGATTAATTTAGCCAGATTGAAAATATTGTTCATACTATGCAAGTTAATTACATTACTTTTTAATTTCCATTTATTGGCATATAGACCTTAGAGAAAAACGACAGAGACATGCTCCATATGCTCAGGTACATCGTTACTAATGTACAGCGCGGATTCCCTTCGGTAATTGATTGGGCGACGATTCGTCATGCGTCCCCGGTCATCGGTCACAGCTTAATGGATTTATTTGGTCGTCGCAAAATTATGCTTAATGACGTGTCAACTTGAAACACGATTGGCTAGCGATGCAATTATGTCCTACGAATAAGTCTCGAGTGATGTAATGGCCTAGCAATTACCCTAGCCGCAACGAATCGTGGGTATAAGTTCTTTTTAGGTTTAATATTTATTTGACGGTGCTAGTTTCGTAATACAATTGAGATCTTTGGCCTCATGATATTTTCGGAAATCCTAATATTAAAATTATGTTAAAATATGTAGAAAAAGTGCGAAAAGATTGTCGCCGTTGTGGGAATCGAACTCACGTCTTCGGCATTCGCGGCCTGACGCTCTAGCCACTGAGCTAAACGGCTGATTGCCACACCGAGGAAAATCTTAACGCATTCTTCCACATTGTTTTCTTAGCATTTGAAGCAATGCTTGGCGCCATCTATTGTTATATCCTTACCAGCATACAAACAATTTCGAATATCGTTTTACAACGATAATTCGAACGAGAGATGATGATTCAATCTTAAGTGCAAAGATTAGCACTATAAACAATTTAAATTTTTAAAATTATGTTCTCCAAAAGAAAATAAGTTTAACATAACCGCATTTTAAACTATTTTGGGATTATTTGGTATACCGGATTTACTTTGCGTTGTGATCACCGATTTGTGGATTTCTCATATCTTGCTTTTCGGGATAAGAGAACCGCAAACGAAAAACATCTTGCCGAATCAACCAACCCCGAACGGTATAAAAATGTATTCGTTTGCGAAATCGTTCTAAAGATTTATCGTCAATGGATACTGCCGGATTATAATGGACACAATTTCCGTCGACATTCGAAACGCTAGACAATACGGCTCAAATCTCCCGCCGTTACCTCTCCAGATGATTTAATACTCGCGCACCGTTCAAAATCTCATAATACCCAATCATCCGGACCCGGTGGGAATGGCGGCGAATCTAAAACCGGGTCTATTCGATTACTAAGTCCACTCCAATGTCTCGGATATTACTACAGGGTCAGCGGAGAAATGCGAATTCGATTCGCAAGATATTCTTTACATCAGCTTAAGCTTCTTATAATTCGAAATTGAAAATTTCCCTTGAGTTTCGTAGAGTAATAAAAAATGCAGCTGACGGATAAATATGGAATTCAAGCTACGGCAGTTTTGATATAACATAATATAACTATGTATGCTGTAATAAATTTTATAAAAATCTCAATACGAAAACAATATTGAGTAAAGCTTCCTTAACATTTCGGTACAGTTGAATGTTTATGATACATTTTTTTCATAACGGACATCCAACTCAAATCCATAACGCGAAATGGTTAATTTATTAATAACTAGTGACCCGCCCCGGCTTCGTACGGGTGGAATGTATTTATACCTTCCTCTTGAATTACTCTATCTAGTAAAAAAGCCGCATCAAGATTCGTTGCGTAGTTTTAAAAATCTAAGAACACATAGGGACAGACAGTGGGACGACTTCTTTTTATACTATGTAATGATAAAAAACCAAGAAATTTCGGCGAAAGGTTAAAATAAAGTTACAGAGAACAATAAATAAAGATGAAGAAGTAAAAGGGGCCGCGACATTGTGTGGAAAACGATAGAGTTCGACAGCCACATTATCCCCAACTTAAACGATACGATAACCCTCCGTCGACTTTCTACACTTTGGCCGACTTGCACAGAAACTTAGCCTTTCATCCCCTTTATTCGCGACCTGTTGCATCCGGCAGTAAAGTAAATCCGGGATAACTCCCCGCCACCCCAAAGCGGTGGCTTGATGTATAAATTACGATATTGAGGAATTCATAGCTCAAGTTTGGGTATGAGTTTTGAGAGACTTTTAATAATGTCGAATAGATTTTAAGCAAAAACAAATAGAATAAAAAGAGAGAACAGAAGAAACAAATCAATAAAATATTTTTCTTTCTCCTGCCCTTTTTCCAACTGGGTGGCGTAGGCTGAACATGTGAATTGTCTTGGAAATGGTTATATACAATGTATATGCAAAAACCCTTGTCTGGCGTCAATCGTCTTTGAGAATAAACATCCAGATTCACACTGAGGTACACTGTGGTAGGGCCACGCAACAGTTCGCTGTTGCACGAATGGGCAGATCCGTCCGGGTTGGTACCACGACCTCACAAAAGACCGGCGTGAAGTAGAAGTGTTACACTTCTGCGTTTCGTCTGGTGAGTGAAGGAGTCGCGGCCCACTTTATTAAAAGGTGGCAACGCATCTGCAACCCTACGGGTGTTGCAAATGTTCATGCGTGGTGGTTAACACTTAGATCAGGTAATCGCTAGCTCGTTTGCCACTTTGTCACATAAAAAGAGATTCGGAACAATTACCAGTAGCTCACACAAATAATTGTCCCGTGTGGGAATCGAACCCAAAACCCCGGCACTGAAGCTAATACCTAAAAGCATAATGATTAACGAAATTTTTAGCACCAAGTATCTATGATTTTAAGTTATCAGATTAGATATTAAGTTGGTTAGATATTTATCATCTCGTCATTTTAATGTAATTTTTGTAGGCGATTACAGTTTGTGAAAAATTCAAAATTCTAAATAATCATTTTTGAATAGAACTTTAGATATTAAAAGTCAAAAAATAAACAGCAATAAAACAGAGATAATTTAGTGGAATAAAATTACAATAACTTAAACAGCATGGAGTAATACTTTTATAATCCAAGTAGACATCTATATTGAAGCACTGGCGGTGTTGATTACTTTGGCATCTACCTACAGAATTAACGTCTTGGACGGAAGTATGTCATTTAGCAATTGCTACTGTTATTCATTCAACAGTTCAGCTCACTTGTTGCTCGAAATCCCTTTAATAGGGAAATAATGACATATTACTTTGACCTGGAACTTGCGAATGACTGAGTCGCAATCGTTTTGAACAATGTAATACAGTGTCATTCTAAGAAAATCGCTTTATTAAGAATAACTTAGAAGAATGTCTCTTAATTATTTACATTCTAGTACAATATTTTTTTATTAAGTTTTAATTTTTTTATTAACCCAAAACTAAGTAGTGTCAAATATGATAATGTAAAGTATACAATAAATAAATTAATTTAATAAATATTTTTTATAATAATGCATAAAATAAACATATAATAAGTAAAGTAAATAAATTTAAAATAAGTAAATAAAATTGTCGTAAAATTTTTCGCCGCTCCTTGGGAAACATAAAGAAACATTTTTACATATAATATATATATTCATACATATTATAAATTTCATCTTAAGCGTGGAGACCGGCACTATAGCGAAAAATTTAACTAAATATAAAGTAATATACATAAATTAATAAGACTCCTGATACGCTACTGAAAATTTATTCCAAAGAATCAATAATAAAGCAATTGCGAAATATCTCAGTTTTAATAAAAGAGAGTTGAAGTAAACGTGAGCGTCTTAAAAGGCCAATTATCGTACAATTTGCGTCGCCGTCGCTCCCCGACCGATGTGAAATTATTGTCCTGAGAGCGAATACTGAGAGAGTGTTCAGAGATTGTAGATGCGTTGCGAAATCAAGCAGAATTTATTAGAAATATCATCGATGGAGCATCAAATAATGAAATCTGGGATCGAGATGCTTTCTACGTTGTATTTTCACGTAGCAGTATTGTCAAGCAATATAAATTAACATTATATTGAAAGGCTGGGTATGCAAAACATGCTATTGGAAAATTTTAAAAATATCTTCTGTAACGGAGCATAATGTCACTACGAAAATCTGTATGTTTAAGTGTAAGGGAGCGGGATCGGAAAACGTAAATAGGTACTATTCTGGCCAATTGTAGTTTATTGTAGTCCGATGATTTTAAAAAATAATCTTAAGAATATATTTCTTTTATGTAAGAATGTGGAAAGCGAGCTAGCGGTTCACCTGAAGATAAGTGATAGCCGCCACCCATGGAAGTTTGCAACACCAGGAACCAGTAGGGTTGCAGATGCGTTTCCACCTTCTAATAACTATAGTGAATTCCCATAACTTTAAGTTGCGATCATGCATTAGAACTCAAAGACATACGGAGATTTTTTGAATTAAATTTTTATTTTCATTTTTCAAAAAAAAAAAAATTCAATTTTGGTGCAAAAACTTTAAAGAACAGTAAATTGTAGATGTGATACAACTTTTCTACTGTAAATTGATGATTATTATTTCAGCAACGTCGTAAATGTAAGGATTCATCATACTGGAGACTTTTTGAGTTTTATTAAACGAAAATCATTGTTACATTCGAAACTATGAGAAATGTGAAATACAAAATACAAATTTAAAAAATACAAATTACTTTATTTCCAAAAAATAACTATTAAGGCCTTATGAACTGACCCCCACACTAGGCTGTTGCCTGTCCTATGGGAAATATGTTCCACAAACATTTTTTGTCCTTTATAGTGTTAGCATATACCCTTAAAGTTATGAAAATTCAAACACGTTGTATATATAGTGCAAACTTGTCGTTATAGTATAGTTTTTGTTTGAAAAACAAATCGCCTTATGCAGGAGCGTTCCTTGTGCCATACTGCATAATGTTGGTGGTGGGTGGGATTCCGCTGTTCTATATGGAATTGGCGCTGGGACAATTTCATCGAAAAGGCGCTATCACGTGCTGGGGCAGGCTGGTGCCATTGTTTAAAGGTAAGTCCCTCTTCATACGTTTCATTCGCCATTCGTTTTATGTCAAGGAATGTTAAACACATACCATTTTTAGCACCATTAAGTCTTTTCTTCCGCCGTATGATACTTAGTGTATATCAGATTTATGGGCACTTAACTTGGTCACGTAGCGACTTAAGTCGACGCGAAACAGAATAAAGTGCTCATGTCCACGAGTACTATACTACATAACGCGATCGGTTCGCTTGTTACAAATAAAAAAATATGACTCACTTGGAACTATTTAAAAAAGCAGACGGATGATTGGAAGCTGGCAATACGAATCTAATTTATCACGAATGGCAGGGCACCTAAGTTGCGGTGGCTGGTTTAAGGTGCTTAAAACTGTCCCCGAGCCTCGCTTGCACTTAACTTCCATAATTGACACCATTTCCAAGGAGCCCCTTAAGTGCTCGCTCCATACGGACGCTCTCAAAGGCTCCGGCAGATTTGTGAGGGCGGCTTATGCCCGGTGATTTCATTCCGCGCGATTGTCACGTCGCGCCGCTGAGTAGCTCCGCGATATGATTTTAGAGGAGAAATAAAATTGGTAATGGACTGGAAAGGTTCTTAGTGAGAGCGTATTTTTGTGAGAAAAGGATTTCGCCCATTGTTCTATCGGATCGTTTTTCCTTATGCTTTTGTTATGTAGCGTGAAATTTCTCTATTTTCTATTTTTGCATTGTTGTTTAATGTAGAGTACATTAAACAGCGATGCTATACAACAACAACGCTATTTTTTAATCATGTAATGTTTTCTGCTATTATTCTAAGGGATCGGTTACGCGGTAGTGTTAATAGCCTTCTACGTGGACTTCTATTACAACGTGATCATTGCATGGGCTCTGCGTTTCTTCTTCGCTTCTTTCACGACAATGCTGCCTTGGACCAACTGTAACAACGAATGGAACACGCCTTCTTGTCAACCGGTAATCAGTTATTCTATATTTAATGTTATAATAATAATTTATACATCATAATACTAGACTTTATGTTAACTAAGCGAACAACGTTTGGCTTCATGATTATCATTACAAGATAGCCCTCGTAACTACTCACCATTTTAATGAAATAAAACATATAAAGCAAACATTTTAAGTTCGGTATTCATGTTTTTAAATAAAACATTATTTCTGTTTTGTATAGTTTGAAGCTAACTGGGAAGCGATGGCTGCAAACAATTCGAAATCCAACGAAACATCCGACACCTTGGCATCAGCGCAGCCTTTTACTTCGGCGGCATCGGAGTATTTCAAGTACCTTTCAAGCATAATTATTAATAAGAATCCTTACTCAATACCTTAATATTTTAAATTTATTCAATATTTATTTGTTTATTATACAATTATAATCCTTGTTAGTTAACAAATCTTCTTTTATATATTGGCATAATTTATTCGTTTAAGCAAGGTCTTATTCTGAGAGGTTTACAAATTTTCAGTCGGGCCATCCTCGAATTGCAAGGCAGCGAAGGATTACACGACTTGGGCGCGATCAAATGGGACATGGCCCTGTGCTTGCTAGCAGTCTACATCATCTGCTACTTCTCTCTTTGGAAAGGCATCAGCACTTCTGGCAAAGTATGGACTTTAAAAATGTACATTCATTTCTGTATACAGAGACAGAGATTTTGCAATATTACTTAATCATAACGATATTAGGGATTGTAAATACGACGAATTTACGAAAAATAATTGGAACTAATTATTAATTTGATAATAGAGTTTATTCGGAAACAACACTATAAAACGAACTGCATAATCGTTCTAAAAACGAATGATTTCAAACGATCCCTCCCTTTATTTGAAGCATCGCAAAACTGTAGCAATCACTTAACGTAATAAATCTTCATTGTGGTAGATGCATATTAATCGCATATCTTTACGACAGGTGGTTTGGTTCACGGCTTTGTTTCCTTACGCCGTCCTGCTGATTCTGCTGGTCCGCGGAATCACCCTACCGGGGTCGGCGACCGGCATTCAGTACTATCTCAGCCCCAACTTCGAAGCAATCACACAGCCGCAGGTGGGTGACGATTGCATTGCATCTATCGTAACGTGTCTCGGAAGAACTTGTAACTGTGGTAGGGCCACGCAACAGTCTCCGCTGTTGCACGAATGGACAGGTCCGTCCGGGTAAATACCACGACCTCACAGAAGACCGGCGTGAAGTGGAAGTGTTAAACTTCTGCGTTTTGTCTGGTGAGTGGGGTAGCCGGAATTTATTAAAAGGTGGCACCAAATCTGCAACCCTACGCATGTTGCAAATGTCACTTAACATCAGGTACACCGCCAGCTCGCATGCCACCTTATCACTTTAAAAAGGAACTCTCTCGAAACCATCTTCGCTTTCAGGTTTGGGTCGACGCAGCTACTCAAGTGTTCTTTTCTTTGGGTCCCGGATTTGGAGTGCTCCTGGCTTATGCGTCCTACAATAAGTACCACAACAACGTTTACAAGTAAGTTTCGTTGAAGAATAAATAAAATTTACTTTATCATGCTGCTCTTAGTGGATGTTTTGGATGTGACTTACCACGGAACATAGAAGCGAACTTATTTGTGATCGTACGATCAAGGTTTGTTGGTATATGAGTAGATAGTTATAGTATAATATATATAGTATAGTATTATAGTATAGTATAATAGTATGGTTATAGTATAATAGTAGTAAAAATAAAATATGAGTAGACGATCAAACACCTGGGTCGACCAGGTTTAGTTCATAGCGATAAAGTTTAAAATCTCCTGAGTACGAAGATTTTGAGTCTTACTAATTATAGACTAATTAAATCAAAAACGTTTCCTTACAACCCGCATCACAAATATACATCTATCAACCTATGCCTTTTTCTTTCTCATTGTCCAAACAGTTACTATTTTTAATCCCCGATGTAAGAAGTGGGGTGCTATAAGTTTGACGTGTCTGTCTGTGTATATGTGTCTCTGTCAGTGGCTTCTTATTGAATGAATAGCTTCTAAACGAATGTACCGATTATAGCCCGTTTTTTTTTGTTTAAAAGTATAATATAAACTTTTAGTTCATATTGTAGCATAAACTACAATATGAACTAAAAGTTTATTTATTTTGTATTATTTCCATTAATTTGCGATTGACACATTCAATAATTTGAAATTTTAACTGAGTGCGAAATTCAAAGAACTTCAATCAACAATTTTTTTTGTCAGATTTATAAGAAAAAAATTTCGTTAAGTTTCTGTTCTCTGTTTCAAGTTTATTTTATAATGTTGTGTTTACCTGTAATTTAAGTATGTACTATGTATTGTTAAAACTTTAATATTAAGTTAAATATATTTGTATGTCAGTGTTCTGTATATATTTAGATGGTAAGCCTTTATAAATAAATAAATAAATAAACAGGGACGCGCTGCTGACGAGTGTTATCAATTCGTGCACATCGTTCGTGGCCGGCTTCGTGATATTCAGCGTGCTGGGCTACATGGCGCACGCGTCGGGCAAGGACGTGAAGGACGTGGCCACTGAGGGCCCCGGGCTGGTGTTTGTGGTGTACCCTGCGGCGATAGCCACCATGCCTGGGTCCACTTTCTGGGCCCTTATCTTCTTCATGATGCTGCTCACCCTGGGACTCGATAGCTCGGTGGGTAGAATTGTCGGTCAGACCAGTAACAGTAGTACTTCCAGACTTGTTCTATTAAGCTTTCAGCGTGCTGGTTTCAACTGCTGAATGCAGGCCTCCCACAGGCTGCTACGAAGCACGACCCTGAGCCACCAGCAACCATCGATTTCCCGCACGTTTGCGCGGCATCATGTAAAAGTATCAATTTGAAACATTTGATGGGAGTTAATAATGCTTTGCTATCCAATGACTCGTTCCAGTTCGGCGGTTCGGAAGCGATAATAACGGCCCTCAGTGACGAATTCCCACCGATCGGCCGCCATCGTGAGATATTTGTCGCGTGCCTCTTCACCCTGTACTTCTTCGTGGGCCTGGCGTCGTGCACCAAGGGCGGGTTCTACTTCTTCCAACTGCTGGACCGGTACGCTGCGGGCTATTCCATGCTCGTGGCGGTATTCTTCGAGGCGATCGCTGTTTCCTGGATATATGGTATGGGAGAAATTACAATTTTTTGCGAAAACAAATATTGACTACACGAAAATTCATTTGTATATATATATATATATATATATATACATACTTATACTATATGACTTGGTATTCACTTCGAGATCTACGGTCTTCATAAGCCAATTTTTCTAGTTTATAAAAATATTGCGCCCTCGCGATTCCGCGCCACAGGCACGGAGCGCTTCTGCGAGGACATCCGCGACATGATCGGCTTCCGGCCGGGCGTGTACTGGCGCGTGTGCTGGCGCTTCGCGGCGCCCGCCTTCCTGCTCTTCATCACGGCCTACGGGCTGCTCGACTACCAGCCGCTCGCGTACGAGGGCTACGTCTACCCCGGCTGGGCCAACGCGCTCGGCTGGGCGATAGCGGGCTCCAGCGTCGTCTGCATACCGGCGGTCGCCGTGTTCAAGATCGTCACCACCAAAGGCAGCTTCTTGGAGGTCGGGACCGTAACTGGAAGTGGTGGCCGGTGATGAGAATTAAACGTGAAAAAACGTTTTCATGGAATATCTTCGATTTTTCTGTCGCGCCGTCTAAAATCCACGTTTCACTCATAGTGCGTATTGGCAGGGTCATGGGACCCCTTTCGTGTACTTCCACAACCCTGTTAGCGCCGACCGCTTTAGCATTTCGTCCACGGCGGCAACTCCTCTCCGCTAGGTAAGGCGTACTTAAAGTGCGCCTTCCTATTAGCTCTCTTTTGAATGGGCGATCGGCTCTCCGAACCCGCTGCCCAGAGGCCATAGGAGCTTAGAGAGTTACTACTAACAAGTAGAAAGGCTCCTGGCCCCCGACAGTGGGCCTGGTTAGTATTTTACCGCTCACGACATTTGGGTCGCTGAGGGTAGGGAGAGCGACATATCGCAATAAAGATACTCTTCTTCCCCTGCGGCATTATTGTTGCTGTATCCACCTTGCCAAGTCGCGTAGGACAGGGAGATCCGCCAAATGCAATACCGACAATTCATTTTCCTCGCGACTCCATCTGGATTACAGAAGACAGGGAGAGTGGCGCGATTTCTACAATCCTCATCGGGCCACTCACACCCTTTTTGTATGCATCTATTAAGGGCCTTCTTGGAGTAGCCATTTTGAGTTGACCACCACAGGCCAGCCCAGTGTGAGTTCCACTTGGCTTTGCCGGGGAAGATAAGTAGTTTGACTAAACCCCTCCGCTATAAAAAGACAAGAACTCGTTCAGACGGGACAGTCGAAGCTTAGCCAACAAATATCTTGACAAAGAGCAGAATTTATATACACGTACGATCCTGGTCCTATCGTATTGGTTCCAGTTCATGGCTTTACATTCACCCTACTGCTGCAATAAAATCTTCTAACGAAGGAAAGGTCCACTAATTCTTCAAATTGACTATTAAGTGAAAACCCAACATATCGCTATTTTAACTGTCTCTTTGTATTCCAGCGTCTCCGTATCCTGACCACACCGCTGGCCGACACCGAACGTGACGCGGCGCGGAATGGCGTCGTCGTCTCCGAGAGCGGCGGGGTAAGGCTCGCGTCCACCGCCGCCACCCCCACCGCCCCCACTCCCCCTGACGCCCCGCTGGCGCCCGGCCCAGCGCTCGTCTGAACTCAGCTCTCCTTCGATGTCTACTACGTGTAGTCCGGTCGCGTAGGAAGGATTTCCTACATTGACCTGTCACCGCATACGTGCGAGCAGGACAGCAACATACGGAGGAGCAGAGAAAGGCAATAACAGGTTCTTTTAAGCCGGTCATTGCATCTGGTGAGCGACACGGCAACATTGTTGCGCGGGGGCAATAGAGACATGTCAACGTACGAATATGCTCCTACAACCGGACCATAGACAATCAATCGAAAAACATCAGAAAACATCTTAGTAGACGCCGCGTAAGGATCATAGCAGACCACGGACGACCCAGATCCAACGAGAAGAAACGAGACAGAAAGTTAGAGACACAAGAGACAGAAAGTTTGTATGTGTATGTGTGTAGTATGTGTAACGTAAGGGTAGAAGGCGGGAAAATTGTGCAATACGCGGGTAGGAGGAAAATGGCGGCGTTGTTCTGGCTTGAAATATTAATAGCTACGTAATAAGTAACCGTACTTTCATGCATTAAACTTCAGCTTCTAATTAAATAATAAATCATGAATAGGTAACTACATAGATGTAATTAATCATCGATTTATTTCTTTGGCCGATATTGTTTCTTAACATTATTTTTATGACTATATGTGAAAAATAACTCTTAAAATGTGAATGGGTATAATTTTTGCATCTTATAAATCCTTTGGATTTCAATGGTACTTACAAATAATGTCTTTGTTTTATGTATTGTATTAGTCACAATTTTATAATTTTTATCATGTTTGAAAAAATCTATTTTATATGTTTGCTACTATTGTATTGACTCGAGAGAGTTATTAGAGAGGTAGGTAAAATTATGGAGAGTATTAATTATTAAGTACTAGGAAAATATGTTTCCCAGTACTTAATAATTAATACTTTATATTTAATAATTAATAATTTATACAGTATTTAGAAGGTTATTTAAATAGTTTATAGAATCTTAGGATTTAATTTTTACAATTTAAGAATAGTATTAGATTAGTGTGTAAAATGTTTCAAATAATTCAGCAAGCCGTCGATGTTTTAGCAGTAGTGATGGTAACATTGCAATGGATGCAGTTAGGTTGACGCAGGAACAATTAGATATTCATGCATTATATAACTTATCGTCTTATCGCATTATTATAATTATGTTTTAGAATTGTAATGTTTTTAGTTTATTAATCAAATATTTTATTTTTAAATCTGACAAATCATTTGAAAATGGGCTTCAATGCTTTACTAGTATTTTTTTAAATTAACATTTCCTCTTAAGGTTGTATGAAAAATTACGTGTATTAAAGGCATTAATAGTTTTAAAGTTATTTATATAATGTTATTTGATGAAAATAGCACGCAATATCTGCGTATAGCGTGCTTTATTATTAATTTAAATATATATGAGAGCACTTAGCTTAGAATAAGGTTTCCATGTGACGAAAATGATTTATTAACATTTTAACCTTTAAAAATATCTTTACCGAAAGTTTATATTAGTCTAATAAAATTCTATATTTCTCGTTATTCCTTAGACTTACATCTTTGCTGTAGTAGTAGTTTTGAATAGGACTTTAAATATAATAAACTATTTCTAAGAAAACACAATGCTGTGTAGATAATAGAAAAAAGTAGAAAATATTTTAATTGTTAGATCGATGTGAAGAGTTCATATACCCACATACCGTAGCATAAAATATTAATATCTAGATGTATTTTAAAAATACTATTCTAACCTAAAATCTTTCTCTTGCTTCGTTAATGTTTAAATATTGGCTTTTTAGAAATTTTAATCAATAATTCTATTATAGAACGTTATTCTGTAGTGTTTAATGTCATTAATATTTCAAATCTCTAAATGTTGTAGTTAATGTTTGATTTTAACTCTGTGCTCCATTTTGAAAAGTAACAATATTTATTATAATTTTAGATCAGTTCAAAAATGATACTATTCGTCACTCCGTTGTGGGCAATGCGGATTGATGAATTGTATATCATTTTTTTTTATTTAATTATATAAGGGTTCATGGAAGAGGCTCCACACACGCTGTATGTCTTCAATTGTTTGTGTAGATTATAGTTCAACAATTATCCTAGGCCACGTGATTGATGCTTAAAAATATAACATGTTTTTTATCTTCTCTTCTGAATTTCATATTGTAGTATCATTAATATGCCATACGAATGTCGCTTTTTATCAATCAATATTTCATAGCCAATAGTCATATCAGCCATTGTGACTATTGGTTACTATTAATCTTAATCAATAAACTATATTAACCATAAATACGATGTATAATTTCTGCCTAACTGGACATACCGTATATGTTACGATTTATTTACCACCTTAAAAACTGACATTTGAAGGCGTCAAGAAAAAACGACTCGTATCCATTAAAACTTTTAAATAAGACAGTCAGAAAATGGAAGGATGTATGTCATCCTATTATTCTGATAAATCAAGAGTAAAGTCTATTCCATTAATGAATGTTCTTATTACATGTAAGTTACATGTAATTCATTTCGAGAAATTGAACTTGCGGATTAACTAAGAGAAACTTTGACTGTTATGGATTCTAAGCAATTTTGACACAAGTTTAATTTTCAAAAGTATTACTTGTTATTACATTATGTGATACTTTGAAAACACAAAACAATTCGAACTGTAAGAAATAAACATGGCTGCAGGCCTACAAATCATTGTAAAATTTATTCTGCACATTTCAAAGAAAACTACGAAGAGGATAATACGTCAGCTTTATTATAATATCATTGTTTGAGTATATAAATAAAATGTAAGTAATCAGCGTAACTTGCTATGTTATTAAGCTTATCAGCAACTTCTGGTAATCATATATGACAGCCAAGCCACAACTGAACCCTAGGATGGATCCATGGCTTCAAGTCGACGAACTCGATGAAATGCTGGGAACGTCCGACAACACCCTAACATATTAGACAGCATTTTAAAGGAATATACCATTACTGATACATCTTATAGATGAGCTTGGTGAATTAAGTTCTTAACATCGATCGCCTGGATAGGATCAAGGATAGGATAGAGCCACAGCCGACACTAGCTTTGAATCAATCTCCGATATTATAACCCTTATTCAAGTCATCAGAGACTCTTCCAAGCGGATCGTGGAAGCGAATGATCGCCGATCCGAATTGCTACAGAATCTTGGACGACTGTTGCGGGAGAAAAATGCAACCGCTAGTACTTTCAAATAATATCAGATTAACGAAATAACTCCAGGATGTACCACCTCCAGAAGAGGTCAATTAGGCGCATGTGGAGCATGGAGCTAAGGGGAAGATGTCCATTTTTTTTTACTTTCAACTTTGATTAATCATAAATCGCAGTCATTCACTGCCTTCTGGTAGTTGGTAACAATTCTTAAAGAGAACATCTCCTCGATGCCGCATGTTGTTCACGAATGGACAGACTCATCCATAGATGTAATTACGTGCCCTCTGACCGGGTTACCGCCTTGTCGTGGCGAAGGGGTCTAGTAGCCGTGGCTTGGTTACCCACGGCGAAGCCAAGAGGAACACACACTGCGCTGGCCTGTGGTATAAGGCTAGCTTGAGTGGGCCCATTGAATCTACTCTGGATTGTGCTGTGAGGATGCAGGGGACAGGTTGAGGGTGGTAGAGGAAGAGCCACTCTCCCTATCTTCTGCGAATGAGGTGGAGATGTGGGGGGTTTCTCCTTGCTTCTAAATGGTAGACACCATTTAGAAGTAGCGAACTCGTAGAAGGCACGCTGAATATTGCAGTGAGGAAGAATTACCTAGAGGGGAATTGCTCCCCCAGGAGCTGGTTGAGCCGCCAGTGTTGGCAGGATCTTGGAAGTGTGCGAAGATATTTCCCGTGGCCCCGCCCATATGCGATCTAGGTGGAACACCGTGGGGGTTATAATCTGTGAGAGTCCGACATAATCCGTCGTACATTTTCAATTACACAACTGGCTCAGAGTGTTTGTTGGTCCAGGTTGAGGGCAAATGTCAGGTTCCCGATATGCGTATCCATTGCACACTGTGGACTGCGGTCTGTACAGGCAAAGCCGTACATTTTCTATCGTATAACAAAACTGCGCACACGACATATTTACACTTGTAAGCGCTCGTATGCGCGACCTAGTTTTATACTTTAGTTCCTAATTATAATTTTAATATTTTTAGGTCAGTAAAATCATTAATTGACATCGGTCAGTTTATTTCACATTCATAACCGCCAACCAATTGACATAGCTCATCTATCCGACATTGAACATAGTGGTGATACAAGCAGTCATTAGCACACAGTCTACACAGGATATCCTAGTGTGCTTGGTGACTTTTGGATAGCCTACAATGTGTTGATATTGTTATTTACGGCAATTCTGCGTTTTACCTCGTTACATAATTTCGATACTTTTTGCTATTGTAAACAAATTCTTGAAGTTATTATATTTAGAATTGAAGTAGAGCAGACGGTGTCATCGTATCGTCTTCGTGCATTTCTATGTTGTTTCACCTGAATCCACGGGGTACCTATTTCTTCCGAGAATGCTTCGAAAGTCACTGAGCTAACAGCAATCAATACTTTTATGAAAAAACATCTCAATATAATCAAAAATCTATTTAATTTTCGCCATTTTTTTGCATAATTTGGTAGATTTATTTTTAACTTTATATTAATGCACAACAAATAATACGGACACACGCATATAAAAAATAACTAAATACACTTCTTTAATATTCTTATTGCTCACTTTATTTTGATTTTTGTACTTAATTTTTCTTATTTATTATTTACATTACAGCTACTGTATAAATAATTGAAAACGTACATTGTAAATCGATATTGGCTAAAAGCTAACCATCCTATCAATAACAACACACAAACGTCACCTAACCTGTTACTTCAATGTATGTCTTTGTCACTCGCTTTTCAATTAGTTTATTTGTCTCTGCTATGCTGGCTATTAGGGATCCGAAATTCAAAAAAATATCGATATTTCTAAAAATATCAATATCGGCCTCATTATATCGAAAAAAAAATATCGATGTATCGGTCAAATTTTCAGTTTTAAAAAAGTTATGTATTTATATCATTCTGATTCAAAAATAAGTAATTTTAATTTTTATACCAAATTCACATTATTTAAACGAATGAGAAATGTTCATAAAACGTTAATTATTTATTAATTTTAATCAAATTACTTTTATTAATATAAAATTCTAGGTATGATATTTATCTAGACCTTCATTGGAAAAAAAACACACAGCTTATTTATTAAGATAAATCAGCTTCTTTAACCCTGAATCGAATCAAAAAATAACTAATTAAAAACATCTAACTTTGTAAAAAACAAAATTGTTCAAATCGAAGTTAAAAATGGGTCAAAAAGAAACTCACAGAGACTTGTCCTAAAAGACAAGTCTAGCTCAACAGAAATTAGTAATAGTTGTTTGATTGACATGAAAATGCTGAACGACAATTTAATGAAGTTACTTATGTGGTTAAATGATAATTATTTTTATGGAGTCAAGTATATTTTTTAATGAAAACTCAATATTAAATTAAGTGACATTTTATTAATGAGAATTTGATTATAATTTAATTTTTGTTAACTTTATTTACATTTCGAGTAACTTTAATTGATGCCATTAATTTTTTAAATGCTAGTTATAAATTAACATAATATATAGTTCAATATTAATGATTTGTAACACCTCTATACCTTGTTGATACCTAAGATATGGATAGTATGAAGTACGAAACATTAAATTGTAGTATAAATACCATAACTATAGTACAAAATGCAACTCTGCATCCGCGACAATACTGGTATATAGTCAACAGTATTTTCCCGTTCATTTTATCTTTTAATTGAATGAATTTGAATCAGTTTGAATAAAAATATCGTTTTTGATACGATTTCGATATTCAGTTTTTTATATCGATATATCGGATCAAAATATATCGGCCAACAATACCGATGTATATAAAAAAATCGATATATCGATGTTTTTTCGACATCCCTACTGGCTGTCAGATAACGCATTTAGCTCCCTATTAGTATATTCAGAACTAATAATATTTTTTAAGTTTTTAACTTAAATTTGGCTATACCGAACAGGATATATAATGGAGAAAACAGAAGAACTACCTGCCCTCGAAAAAACAATTTTTAATGCTATAGCCCAAGGGGATTTGGATGAATTTAGGAACATTTTATCTCAGCATAAAGGCAGTGTTGATTTATATGACGAAAATGGCATGACCGCACTTCAACACGCCGCTTATAAGGGTAACAAGGACATGGTGCAACTCTTACTTGATAGGGTATGTTTTCATAAATTAGGTCTGTAATGAGTTGCGACATATCTGTCAGGAATAACTTTTCATTAACTTGTTTATGTCACAGGGCGCTGACGTGAATTCGGGAAAACACGAATACAACTACACTGCTTTACATTTCGGTGCCTTGTCGGGGAACTCGGATGTGTGTAAATTATTGCTTAACGCTGGATCTAAGCCAACAGCTACAAATTCCGTAGGACGGACAGCTTCACAGATGGCGGCATTTGTTGGGAACCACCATACTGTGGCTACTATCAACAATTTTGTACCTTTAAGTGAGATTTCTTATTATTCTATCCCCAGAGGTCAGCAAATAGAACCTTATCTACCCCCACTACTAGTTGATCCCCTTCACAAGTTTGTATTAGGTGTCAACATTCACCCTGTCCGTTTAGCTCTTAATTTGCAGAATACACCTGTCCTCCTCGACAATGCAAATAAAGCAAGTCAAGTGCTGGAAATGTTATGCAAAAGGGAAATGACTAGAGGAAGTGATACAAATGAAGTTATGGCATTTAAATATCACTACCTATCTTATATTCTTAAAGAAATATATAATATAAGAGACAAACAGAAATCAAATGCAGACAACAAAGAAGAAAAGAAACATGATCCTATTGAGATTTTCTCAAAGAAACTTCTGAAACCTGGTAGGGATGGTGTATCCTTGGATCTAATGGATGCATTCTTGAAAGACTGCGTTAGAGAATTTCCATACAGAGAATGTACAACTTTCCATCAAATGGTGACAGCTTTAACCAGTAAAGATCCTCCATCAGCTCTTTCTGTAATTAACTGTACAATAAATGGTCAGCGTGGATTTGTTGATGCCATACCATACTGTAGTACATGTGGTGAAGAGAAACCAGCTAAGAAATGTTCTAAATGTAAGATGGTGCAATACTGTGATAGAGAATGCCAACGTCTCCACTGGTTTGTGCATAAAAAGGCCTGTAATCGAGAGGCAGCCCATCCCATATCAGCATCACCCAATGCTAAGGCCAATATTGATGCCTCTGAATTAACATCAGAGTTGCAAAACCTAGTAGCTGGATAGAACTACATATTTTATGATACTAGTTGCGAATCATAGATTTTGAATGTACTTTATGCTTCTATTTAACTGTCCAAACTATAATTTATTTAATGTTTCTACAGTTCAAATGAGACAATATATTGTATTTGTTATCTCTTGGAAGGACCTCATTGAATTATGTAAATATTTAAGGATCAAATAAATATTACCAATTTAAAGCACTTAGGGAGATAACTCTATGATATTTTAACTGCTTTCATAAGTGTGTTCTATGTGTATGTTTGTTAATTTCCCTATTAACAAGTATATTTTCTACACAAAGGGGTTTATTGTTTGTTAAAACCATAAACATTTTTCTTTTACTTGCACAAAGTAATGTGCCACAATTTTGGACTCAATTAAGTGGATACTATAATAGAAATTTCTATTAAGTTAATTAATACGAAAATGTGACATGAAATTCTATTGAACAGGCATATCTTTATATACTTTTTATTCTGAAGTTCCAACAGAAAAGAAAAAAAACATGCCAAAGCACAGCATGGCCTGTTTCAGCTAATAGATAATAGTTATTGGGCCATAAAAGATTTCTCTCTCTTGTGTTTTATATTTAAATGTTGTAGCAATCATAATAAGATAATAATGTTTGATTTAATACAAGGAACTATTTACGCATTAATTGTTTTACAAATGAAATGTTTTCAAAATTGTATGATTAAGCATTCACAGTTAGAAAATGTGCAAGATAAAGTGTCAAATAAAAGTTTTAAATTCACCGTCTTATTTTATTGTCACTAACCACTACTGTATATTAACTGATTTGATTTTTTTTATCTCAACACTATAGTGTGAGATAAATATTCAAATATAATATTGTGAGACTTATTTAAACCAGTATTGTAAACTCGTTTAGATAATTATCGCTAGATGTCGCTCTTAGCATGAGGCGAGTTAGTAAAATTAAAATATTAAAATAAAACCTGAAAGAACTTTAATCATAATATATTTAAGTGATTGTTATAATATTATTTTATAATAATTTTTATTTACATTATTTACACATCTATAAAAATAATTTCATGCATATACATCGTAAATTAAACCTAATTATTATTTCTTACAACAAAATATTTAATTCTTAATTAAGTGGAACTTCTTAACTATATGTCATTTCATAAGGCACTTTTATCACATTATTACAAATATCAGCTTTTATAGCTATGAGGTAGGTGAATGACGTCACATTGCTTACATCGAAATAACAGATATAATATTGCTGAACAAATTACTGTACATAGTCAACATTTATATCATCCTTCACCAAGGAGAGCGCTGATAGTGAAACTTTTTACTCGACGGCATGGAGCTGGTGCGGGTTGAGTTGGAGAAGGAAGTCTTGGGGGTGGTGGTGGCAAAGCTTGACTCCAAGGGAGTCCACCTACTAGGGGGCTGCCCGCCCAGAATCCTAGTGGTGGCATTGGCATGTGTAATTGTCCTAAGTAAGGTAGCTCCGGTGGATAGAATGTAGGGGGCGGTGATATGTTATCAGGTGGAGAGACGAGAAGTGCTGGCGATTCAACCAACGGGGGTGATCGAGGTGAGGATGACCGAAGGCTTCCTTCCTCGGAGCACGAAGACGCGGCGTCGGAGCAAGGGCGTTTAGGTTCGCTACTGTCACCGCTAGATGGCTCTGCGCTGCCCGTTTCACTGTCTGTATTCTTTCTCTTGCATTTTGACTGGCCACACGCCCTGAATCCTTTTGCGAAAGGATTGTTATCGATTTTCAATTTCGTGATGCGGTCGTTCTGTCAACAAGAAAAAGATTAAGTTATAAATTACTTAACTAGTTTTAATATGTTCGTTTCATTTAAATTAGCTGTATTCTCATAGGTTTTAGCAAGTTTATTTATATTATACTAGCTTTTCGCTCGCGGCTTCGCTCGCGTTGAAGTCCTTAAATAAATATCTATCCCCATTAAGAAGTTATAAAGGGTATAACCTTTTTTCCAATTAAAAAATAGCCTATGTCCTTTCTCAGGCCTAATAGTTTTGGCGTGAAAGCGAGACAGACGGACAGAGTTACTTTCGCATTTATAATATTAGTATGGATGATTTATGTGCAATATATAAGCTGATAAAATAATATTAATCGTTGTTTTACTATTGAATAACATTTTCCTAAACCCCATTATGTATTTTTCATGTGAAAAGTTGGCAAGTAAGCAGGCGGTTCACCTGATGTTAAGTGATAACCGCCGCCCATGGTCATTGGCAACTCCCGTAGTGTTGCAGATGCCTTTGGCACCTTTTAATAAAGTAGGCCCCGATTACTTCATTCACTAGACGAAATGCAGAAGTGTATCTTGTATCTTGTATTAACTGATGTTTTTGCTTTCAGTCCCGAGACTATTAAAGCTTCATCTGACGCAGAAGCGGTGGGCTAGCCAGAGCCCACGGGTTTGGGCTAATGCAGAAGTGTAATGCTCCCACTTCACGCCGGTTATCTGTGAGGTATTATATGTGAGGTAATATATCCGGACGGACCTGCCCATTTGTGCAACAAAAGCGGCTGCATGACACAAGTCTATTCTACAGCTCCCAAAATTTTCCATTTTGATTAGTCTATCATATAATAATGTGTTCATTAATATGGCTATGATTTCTATGTGAAAAAAATGTTATTGATATGAAATAAGCGGGCTTGAAAGGTGACATTCGCTATAATAATATCTATATAGTTTATATATTATTCAATATATTATGTATTATTCCAGAACATTCTTTAGTATTAGTTTTTTCTTAATTCTATAAGGTCATGGTTATTTAAGCTATTGCATTTTAAATTCCGGTACCGTCACACAGCTCTACAAACCTAGAGCGAATCTAAGAGCGACCTATGCCCCAATACATATATTTTAACGATTTTTTAGAAAGTAACAGAAATAAAGTTCTGTAATTTGTGCTTTATTTAAGCTTCTTCCTATGGTGTTTTAAGTTCTGCGAATAATATCGACTTTTTTAGTATTCACTCCTGTTGATTAGTGATTGCCCCTAAAGGGAAATCTTAAATAGTAATTGTTCATTTTGTTGACTTCTACTACCGCTTGTATAATGTTTTCACATTGTTTGTATTAAATAAAACAATTTTACGGATTTTATCGTGTTCAGACAGAATAAATATCCCGTGACAATGAACGCTGTAAAGTGTTCGAAACTACAGGAATTTAAAATCAAATTAAAACATGATACAATCCTTAAAGCAATTTCATTCATCTATTTATAATCAATATATTCGCATGAACAAGAAATTATATATTCTTTCATACTTGTAACTGACTAGCGCTTGGATGCTATCCCATGTAATGGTAAGTGGCGATGCAAATTAATTAATTTAATTTAATGCAATTATTTTTGTTTTGTAAGTTTTGGTTATATTATTCATTATTATTTCTTTCTGTTTCTTTTTTTATTCATTATTTGTTTATTATTTAATATTATTATTCAGGTAAATAGCTATACGGCTGAATTTTGAAATTATAGAGATATATTTTCGAATACATTACTTTAGATTGTCAAATATATATATATATATAACTTAGCTGCGTACGGTATGTGCCAAAACGGGTTACTGGATGTTGAAAAATATATTTGTACGAATGTCGCAAAAATGAAACCGTTGGAGCTTAAATTTTTTATTAACGAAAATAATTATTTGTTCCCCAAAAAAGTCGAAAGGTTCTCAATTTATTGTGCATATTAAATAAACAATAAAAACTCGGGTGTCTATATTTGATGTTAATTTTTAGTTAGATATTATTTAGTACATTTTAAAAACTATAGACTAAGTGTTGGGTACGGATGGTTAAGAATTTTCTGGTGTTACGATGAAAAATATCCTCGTGCATATAAAGTATTATATGAATAGATGAATATTATTTTAATACGTGCATCTTTTTGTAAGTTCGTATCACGTGCAAGGGTCGAGCTCGGATTTTTGGATAGGCGCCCTCGAGGAAACTGTCTTATCTCCTTGGGAATGCAATTCAAACATCCGTTTCCGCGTGGATCTCGCCGATGCTAATAGCTATGGGATAATTGTCGCACATGTGGCGTTACCGGCGGCGACAGGCCAATTAGCGTGGCACGCATGACGTCATATCGCCCGCCTGCAGTGTGCCCTACTAGCGGCGCCGAGTCGCACTCGCCGAAATCACGGCGTGTCGCGACAGCCCTAAAGCTCCCGCTCCGAAGTTTGCGCAAGTGACAACCAACGCATACGTCGACGGGGTGTAATCGTGGCGTCGGGAAAAAACCCGAGCGGTGTTTGCGCACGGCCGGGAATTCGGAATTATCTGGCGAAATCCTGACCGCAAATACGGGCCCGGCGCTATACGTGAAATCACTTGTAAGCGATTGTTTACACGCCGTGATAAGGCGGCGCCGTCGGGTGCCGCGCGCTCGGCGCTGCAGATAACGCCGCAACCCATCCAGATAGGGAAGATCGCTAAAAGCATGTTGTTAGCCCACGAAAGTGCACTTCACGGGTCGGCCGGGTAGTTCGATGGGCGCTCCGTAGTGGCGCCGCCCCTGGTACGCCCTGTCGCCCGTGACGTCACACCTTTAGCGCTTTTTGCGGGTACGTTCCCATATTGGCGACTGTCGCCGGTTTTTTCTTGAGCCGAGAATTGTGTAATTAGGGCCCGAGTATTTGGTTACGATATCGGCCGAAAAGGGGAGAAACTTTTAAGACGGGAAAAATGCTGCAGCTTGAGCTTACTACGTTTCGGTTAGATCGCACGCCGAAACGTTAGTATTCTCGAATCCCGATCCTAACATGCTTCCTAAATCATTTCCTAATATCCGATATAGATAACTAGACGTTTAGATCACAGGCATGCCACCTAGTTACGCTCTACCGTCGCGCGGCGGCGTCCACAAAGGTACGTTTCTAATTCGCCGGTAATTCGCGACAATGGGCGGCCGACGGGACGATCTCCTGTCGGGGATAATGCGCAACGATACGGCCGGCTAGCCATTGTCCGAAACACCGTTAGCTCCCGGATTATCCCACAAAGCGGCCGGTCGCCGCGGCTGTCGATGCAAATGGACGGGCGGCTATTCGCGCCTCGCTGCAACCGACAAAGGGCCCGCCGCGCCCTAATTACGCCGCGAAGGATTACGCAAGGATGCGACCACGGGCACCGCAGTCACAAGGCACCAGCGCCACAGGTGGTGATTGTACGCGGACGTCATCGCTAAATCCTATTAAAAGCATGTACACATAATCAAATGTATTCGTTATAGCATTCAAGACGAGCTTATTTGTAGGTTAGGTAAGGATAACCAAGGTTCAGGTTAAATCTTCGTTACCAATGATTCATTAGAATTCAACTTTATCAATTGTATTGATTTTTTGTTTTTACGTGAATATTATGCTTGTTGAATATCATAACTTACTAATTTTGCGTAGATCTGAATTAAAAATATATAAAATAATTGACGGTAACGGTTATCACTGACATTTGGCCGTGAAACAACTCACTCCCGTGAACATGAAACTCTGAAAAGGGTTCGAAGCGTCGGGAATTTAAAAATCAAATTGAAACGTAATAAAATCTAAAACTGTTTCAATGTAATTATTATACCTAGATGTTAAGATAGAGCCCGTAAAGGTTTAGCGGAGATGAGTATCCTTTATTAACTATTTACCGTAATTACTTATACTTACAGAAATATGCTTTTATTTATCTAATAGTAAAGGTAAAGTATACTTTTTGCTTTATCCATGCTATTATAGCTAGCTAGTTTAACATGTCCATCTAATTCATCGTCTAACGAGATTTGATTAGCTCGAAATTCGAAACAATACTATCGTGCGTAAACTTCACAGGCATTTCACAACGGCAAACAGAGGTCTGTTATCGACGCCGTACAAAGTGATTGTTAGGGAATACTGTTTTGCATTGACCGACGCCGCAGCACCTGCAACAATGACGCCTTATGTTGACAAACGGGCCGACGGGAGCCCAAATTAGACGGCCTTTGTTTTCCTAACAGCTACAAGTGACCAGCGTCGCCGCCATATTCAATTTTTTGCCCGCCATCGCTCGAGCGTCCGTAAAAGCTTTGGCGCCTGTACGTCAACGTAAAAAATCGGGCGTACGCATAAGTGCAAATCACTGCGTGTTCCACGAACGTCGGTGCGTTTTCTCGGAAATTAAATTCGAAAATGTAGCAAAGGAGTTCCCAATTTTCTTACGATGTCTGTGGTCAACTTTAGTTTTTTTTTATTTGTCCATTTATTTGTTTATTAAAAAATATATATTGTTGCTTTGCAAAGCGTAACAGATTGATAATATACTGCTGAAATGAATTCACTTCAATTAATTTTATTTAATTTTATATCCTTAAAAAAAGGTTTCTTTTTTGAACGTTTCCCACCATTAAAACCTAAAAAATTTGTAATCACACATGTCACACGTTTTCTTTGTAATAAGCGTTTGTAATAAAACCATGTTTATAAGCAAATAGTAAGTAGTATTCCTGTCATACCAGCAGTACATACCTGGTAAGCGGTGACAGCTATGAACTCTGTTTCCGGAAAGGAGAAAGCGGCATGCGGTGCACCCCAAGCCAGAGCGGCTGCGTCTCTTGCCCTCACCACTACCACCCTTGGGCGGTACTTGTGCATTGAAGTCAACACCATCTGTCAATAAGTAAAGTAAAGTAAAGTAACAGCCTAGCAAAGGCCTCCATACAGAGGGTGTTAGGGATTTCACGCGACCCCACTGCAGATTGGCGGACTTCACATATCTTCTGAAATAGTTTGACGCGTCGTACGGTGGTGAGATTCAGGAATAGATATAAATCCTAATAACATCTCAGAGCACTCCCCTTGATAGATTCGATAAAAAATGCAAGGAGATGAAACATCTCTTCGTAAGGCCATATGGTGGAGTAGGACCTAGTCGCCGGACAAAAATAATTAATTTACTTTAAACTCCCAACGTTTCGAATACTACTGGCAACTTTGACTGAATGTCATGTCACGGGACGGTTATATTTAATAACGAAGTTATTCGATATAAAGAAATAATTTCAAAGATGGGAAAAAACCTCTGAATGATAGACATTAAAAGAGATTAAAATAGAGATTAAAAGAGCAAGCGTAAAAGGTGACGAGCTTATCGTCGTAATTTAAACACAAATGTATGACAAATTATTTTACGACTAATTCCAAAACCGGAGTTAGTGTTTTTTGAACATAATATGATCTTTATTCGTTCTAGCTCACAGATTCGGTTGTTACACGGATGATATTTATAAAATAAAATTACATTGTTTTAAAGTTTTTAATACAATATTGAGGTGACGTTCTAATTTAATTTAATATCCATGCTATCCGATTATGGCCAAACTATGTAAAGTTGAATATTTTCCCCTTTAAAAGTCCCGAAGCTGTTAATCAAACATTTCACAATAGGAATACAACTACTTATTGTGTAAATGAAATATGGGGATAATCAAAAACCACAATTAAGGCACGTAAAAAAAAAAACAGCAGAAACATTTCGAGGGAAACGAAAATTAATTAGTGGCGATCGATGCTGGCAGTTTTAAGTTTAAGCGCCCGAGGCCGTGGCGGCGTCGACGTCGCGTCGGGCGGTGTCTGCGCGCAAAAGGCCCTTATCTGTGGTACTTGGCGCGCGAAACTCGGCTACCTGCGCGGGCGCCGCAAATGCGACCTCTTGAGGCGTAAAGGGTTCTGCCCTCATTGTCTCAATGGCGTGCCCTTTTCGGTGCATTTTTGTACGCGCGTACTTCTGTTTCGTTCCCTATGTATCTTTTCGTTATCATTGAAAATTCGATAAAGTCCAAACGTAGGTTATAAAGAAAACATTTCTTATGTTATACTTCCTTTGGCGCGTTTGGAAATAATTATAAGAGTAAAATTTTAACGATGCGCGCGCACACCGACACCCAAAAAGCGACATGATGAAGTTTTTTGAACGATCAAAGTGAACAAAGTCACGGTATTACCATGGCAACCAATAACTGCTTTTTGACATTTATAAATTCCATGTTATTTAATTATACCGTCAACTGCATTTAATGTCTTTTTTTATATCCAAAGAGTAGCAAGGGATACAATTTTTTAGTTATTTTTCTTTTGCTACGCTAAAGAAGTATAACTTCTTTCTCGCTTACTTTTTTTAAGTATTTGAACACAAGTTAGAATGTTCGATAGATAAACGTTGTAAATTTGCTAGAAAAATGTTTGCTATTTTAAAAAATAATACCGCGAACAAATACGGAGCAATTGTGAATAAAAGATAAGGTTGTCTAGACGTACTAATTGTGGCTTGCCAGTTTTTTATCGCTAATTGCAGTTACTTCGCGTCTCGGACGAGTACCACCTTCCCCTGGCTAATTTAGCGTTACGTGTTCGGTTTACTTAAGAGCGTTATGAACTTAAGCGTGCGTTCTTACGGATTATATGACGAATCAATATGGTTCATGTGTTATGCTTGCTGAATTATGGAATGGGTATCATCAATTTGTTTTGTGACACACAATTTTTTAATATATAATCAAATTCAGGTGTAAGAGAACTTAATTTTCGTTCATGTTTAGGATTTTTCACTCTTTCAAAAACGGATAGTATCTTTTATAGATGAAAGAAATTAATGTTCTTTTTTTTTTCTTGAATAATATCTTAGACACTGGCTGGCTAGTAGAAACGAATGTATCGATGATAAAAAAAATCAATCGCGCGATTCCGATCGAACTCTCTTGCGGCATTAACACGTGGTAGAAGATCGATAGATACGTAACTGACAAATGTGTTCACATGTTCTCCGAGGTGCGTACGACACGGACAGATTGACAGGCGGACAATACAGGATTTTCGACGCGTACGGAAGCTCGTCCATCAAGTAGATGTCCGTTCGATCATACAGATTGAAGTGGCCGATAATATGGGGCGTCCGATTCCGTTATTGGCGTCGTTTTATGACAGGCCTATTTTCAGTATCATTGGGACATTCCTTTTTCGAAATTGTCTTATTAAAAAATAACTGTGGTAGGGTCAACAGCAGTCTTCGCTGTTGCACGAATGGGCAGGTCCGTCCGGAGAAATACCGCGACCTCACAGAAGACCAGCATGAAATGGAAGTGTTATACTTCTGCGTTTAGCTCTAGTGAGTGAGTAACTGGATTCTGGTTATCACTTAACATCAGGTGAACCGTCTGCTCGCTTGCCACTTTCTCACGAAAAAAATATTCGGAACACGGTTACAACTTTAAGTACGATAATAAAAAATTTTGCACTATTGTAATAAGTTTTATCTCAGGTCTGAAATATTTATTACCTTATTTTTTCACCGACTTACCCATTTATAGATTATGTATTGGATGCGAGCTACCTATCAGTTCGATACATATTCAAAATCATTTAATGTCGCTTGAAAAGATTTCAACGATCATGATGACTGCTAGTGATAAAATTAAACACCAAGCTTTGTTTTTAGCTTATCGAGTTTGGTTCTCACATAAAAAAAAAAATATATGAACAACAGACTTCTTGAGTTTCGAGTGTTCATCATTGAACAATTGTTATCTGTAAAGTCGTGCAGTAGCATGATAGAAAAAATCAACTTGAAAATATTTTATTACTATTTCAAAAACTAAAAAGCGGAAATCGGGGATATTCCATATCTTTGATCTCCACATGTAAACATAACCAGAGTATGTCGCTGCATTTTTTGCAAAGCAACTGATTTAAATCTTTCGTTGGGGCAATTTCGGGAGCGTGAAGAGATTTGTAAGATAGGGGTTGCGTGGGGCATAAAACAGTTTTTCTGATCCACGCAAGGGTTGCATGTGCGGGGATGAACGCCACGACTCTGAACGACAAAGTTTAAGGTTCTATAAATACTTATTTCAAACGGAAACTTTATTCGACCCTATTTCTGCAATATTAAAAAAAATGTTTTCTACATTATATCTTATCCATTAAACGAGCAATTCTTATAATAATAATAATAATAATACTTTATTTGCCATAACCCAAAAACAAAAAGAAAATTACATAGAAATTATGAACAAAAAAAAAGATATAAAACAAACTATAATACACAAAAAAAACTATATAAATAACATTTTGGCAAAAAGGTAATAAGCTCAGCGATTTCTCAGTGCTGATTTTCAACTTATCCCTTAGTAAAGGTTTACATCATCATTTACAAAATATATTAGCGGTAGTTGGCATATTTTGTTCAAGTTGTATTTGATAATGTAATGTAATAACGATAATAACATAAATGAAGAAAACTCAATAGAAGATTTAGAGAAGAGAACAAAAAAAAATCAAATACAGTGAAAAATACGACGTGAAATAAAAATTTGATAAATTAAAATTAAAAGATAGTCACTAAGTTAAAATTAGTATTTAATTTTGCTTTAATATTGATTTTGAACCGAACACAACTTTTGTTTATTGAACAAGGAGACTATTGACGCGCTAAATCGGAAACTACTTTTGAAACCCGCCCCTTTATGTTTCGGTAACTCAACTGCATTATTCTGACTACCACGGGTGTGCTTGCATTGCTTGAAAGTAAACTTGTTGAACAGGTAATCTGGTTTCTTTTCCATCATTACCTTGCGAACCATATTGGCAAAATGTAGTTCCCTCCGTGCGGCCATTTTCATAATACCATTCTGATTTAAATAAGGGGTTACGTGTGCTCGGCGTGGGATATTGTAACAGAATCTAGCGCATGCGTTTTGAACACGCTGAATCGCGCGCGCCGTCATCGAATACTGCCGAGGTCCGTACACCGTGTCGCAATACGTGAACTGCGACAGCACCAGGGTTTCTACAAGCACTTTTCTGACTTTCTCTGTAAGGTGGCTTCTGATGTTATATAATAATTTTAATTTATAGAAAGCGTTTCTTATTTTGATGTTAATATGTTTCATGTATCTCAATTGACTATCCATGATAAGTCCCAAGTTTTTCGCGTTTTCCACTCTCGCAATTGATATGTTATTAATTCCAATCTGAACTTTCTGCTTAATAACCATTTCGCACTGCCTCTTAGTTCCCAAAATCATGTATTTTGATTTGGACGGGTTTAAAACGAGTGCATTTTTCAAAGCCCAGTCAGATATAACGTTTAGATCGTGGTTTATCTCGTCCACGGCTTTTTGTGCGTCTTGTGGTTTGAAAGAGTAATACACTTGGGTGTCGTCAGCGTACAAATGAATTTTACAGAACTTTAACTTGCCAATAAGGTCTGCCGTGTACAAAACAAACAGCAGCGGGCTTAATATTGATCCTTGCGGTGTGCCCCTCGTTAGGGTTAATATTTCTGACTGTGTTAATTCTCCTTTCTCATCGCCCATTTCTACAAATTGCTTCCGCCTTACGAGGAAGGAAGAAAAACATTGCAAGGAGGATTCTTGTATATATATATAATCGGAATCTCAGAAACGGCTCCAGCGATTTTCATGAAATTTAGTATGTGCGTAGGTTCGGGGGCAAAAAATCGATCTAGCTAGGTTTCATTTTTAGAAAATGTCCTTTTATCCCTGTTTTCAGGGAATGAAAAATATAATTCGAATATGACGGTAAATTTCGCCGCAAGAGAAAATGTCATAATAGCTCGGTCGGTAATCGGGCGGCCCCAAAACAGGCGGCCATGGTTCGCGTCACGATCATTTACACATTTATTTTTTTACTTTTTTTTCGATTCCAGATCATTTCTTTCTTTATTTTTAATTTTTTGTCGATTTGTTATTTTTTTCCCTTTTTTTTAAAGTTCTTTCTTTTGTGAAAAACGTCAGTTCATATTTTCTTATTATTACGTCGGTAAGATCGAAAAATATTATGCATATTTCATTACTCAGTAATTTGTATCGAAATGTCATTTCCAAAATACACGATTTACCAAAAAAAAACAAACCGAGCAAAGCTCGGTCCTCCGGGTACTGATATAAAAAACGTCCAATAATGAATATAATATAATATACTGAATATTTGAGCAAATTTAGTTATTCAAATCCAGTGCTTTTTGGTTGTAATTTTAAAAACTGATTTTCCACGAACCCAGCTGTGAAAGAAAACATCGTTAGGAAAACCTGCATATCTAAGATATATTTCTAAGATGTGTGAAGTCGGACAATCCACTTTGAGTTCGCTTGGTGGTATATGCTCTAAAAGCCTCTGCGCAGAAGTCTTTGCTCATTAATGGGGCATATAATATAAATTTTTATACCAAAAATAATTAAGAGCAGTTTACTATTCAGATTAAGTTTCAGACATTTGATTGGTAAAACGTAATAAACCTACAAACTAACGTAATTGACCTTTAACCAATTTTTGTAGGATACACGCAAATGCAGTGTTTTCTTTTAAAACAACTCAGAAATCCACATACAATTCTAGGTTGCCGGAATTCTTTGTCCATGATTAATTTGATATTATATTTTAAAGAGGTTTTACAGTTTCTTTGTGGGGATTAGAAAAACAATAGGATACAGACACCGATACTATTACTCTATCTACACTAAGTGCCTTCTCGCTTAAACGACAATGTGTGTAATCCGTTCATTACAGGTGATTTCGGGAAATCACTAATCCCCTTTGTAATTAGACAACTTTTTCCCACATAAAACACTCGACGCGAGTTTTTGTTCGAATAGAAATGAAACCCTAAAAAAGGAGGTAGAATGCTCATAATGGGGTCCTTTATTGCAGGTGGAATGAGTTGAAGTGCACAAGCGATGCGAATATTTCTCGCATGGCTTGACCGGCTTCTGGTAAGCCGGTGGCGTGAAGCTTTGTTGTCATCTCCAAAGCGGCCGCCTTTGAGCCTTTACGAAATGTATTACAATAAAAAAAACATTTCCACACTCGACTTGTTTATTATACACATACCTAATCTATACCTCTTCTTAATTTGAACTGTAGTGCCGTTCCGAAATCTGAATCAACATAGGCGACAGTTTCGTTACAAAACTGTAAATATTTGGAATATAGAATGAAACAAATCTAAGGTTAGTCCTTTTTATGATACTGTATTGTGCAGTTTTAAATAGTAATCAATATGTCGTACGGAACGTGTATACCGTAAGAATGTTTACTCAATATGCACATAAATATTGAATTCAATGCGCAAAGAACAATCAGAGTTTTCCATAATAACACATGATTTTGAAGAAAGACAAAAATTTGACAAATAAAGGAGGCGTGTAACTTATGAAAAGGCTTTACGTATCTCGAGTCGATAAAATTGGGCAGTCAAACGCAACTCTAAAGCTTTGTGCCTCAGAGCCCTTCAGTATCACGTCATAACAAAGCACAATATAATGTTTGCATCGAAATAGACAGCCGCGAGCGGTGTTTGTTTTGATAGACGATCATTTAAACTGATATGCAGGATAAATAGCTTCATTCAATAGGTTGTATTTACCAGAATGATATATAATAATTAACAATGTAGGAGCATTAATAATGTATTTTTTTCATTAGTCTTTTATAAATAATTCTCGTATTTCCCTGGATGCTAGAGATCGGGTAAAATATGCTTCACGCTTATAAAATAAATTTGCAAGTATATTGTTGCTAAGTTAACAGCCCAGCAGTATATTTGTTTAAATAATCATGCAAATGTACAACATAAATCATGTATTTTATTACAGACCTCGCAATGACTATGTTCACAACGACATTAACTAACAAGTTGGTACATACATATGTTGCGATTGTAGTGTGATGTTTATAAAAACTTTTTCAAGCAATTACACGTAGCCGCGTTAAAAAGTGGAGACGATAGACAAACTTGCGCCCGGCAAACATTGATACAGCGGATTCCTAGAGGGAACATATTCAGCTTGGAAGTGTTTGTACAAACGCCAAGCAAATAGCGGGCATCAAATACTGTGAAGTGCACGCGTTATAGTGCATCATTAATACAGGTGTCATTGGCGCAGTAAACAAGCCGCCTAGAGAGGAGTACAGTTAGCTGCCGGCACTGCGCTTCCACACAATGCCTTTCAACGTATTTGTTGATGCTCGAAGACGTGTCTCCGTACAAAGGACCCCTAGAGCGCCGATTATCGTACCGACAGGCCATCGCCGAGAACCTTATGGCTTCACATTTAAGACACAATGCTGCGTAGCAAAGATTTTGGAGCCCCGATATTTAATCTTAAAGGTTTCTACTCCATTGATTGTAGCATATTGAATTTTAACCGAGCTCGAATAGAGTTCGAAATCGAAAATACTCCTTCTGTGGAGGGAAGTGGGCTGGTAGGCGTTTCCATAGATGATGTAGTACGCGAGATATAGTCACGACTGTACCCATGGACTATAAAGATTGAAATTAAAAAAATAATATGACGAGTTATTAAATTCTTTCAAATTTTAATTGCCGTCAAATGTCTTAAAGTTTTCTTTAGGCGCCCAACCTAATGGAAGTAATTTTTATAGGTAAAGCATTTGCTTCGTTAAATCACGAATGACTAGTTGATTTTTAAGGCGTAATAACATTTTTCCAGTAAATTATCTGCGATGGTCGATGAATACAGTTTTTTTACATAATTAGTTTATATATAGAAGTTTCAGACGATAGCTTTGTTATTTAATTAGAATCGTTTTACGGTTAAAATAAACATTTTTCACATCCAGTGATGCCGTGCAAGCTGTACTTGTCTTGGCTACTAAAGAAACATGAGGCAAGCTTTTGAGGTTAGAGGAAAAGATAACGTATAAACTGACATGTATCTATAGGAACCATACTTGTATATAAGATCAGAATCAGAAATAATTCTAAATTGTGTGTTTGTATAACTACATATGTTAGTAATCAGTAACCTAGTGCCCATAGTAGTTTTTAGCTATGCTTAGCTTGCGTGTAGTTAACTGTGTATAAAAAAATCCTGAAATATTTATCTATTTGTTTAACCGCCGCCCATCAATATTTGCATCATGCGTAGGGTTGCCCGTCTCGTTGCTCACTCACCAGACGAAACTCGAAAGTATTTTATATTACTTCTTATCCGAACGGACCAACCGGATATTGTGTGTTCAACGTAGTGTTTTTCTGGTGTCTGACTGTTTATATATCTTTGATATGTATTTGTTTCACAAAAGATAAGTGCGTTTAAAGTATAGGTTTGCTTACTTTGGGATGGTTTTGTGTGAAATATTTATTTCAATTATTTACTTCAAGCACGAGGTCACTTACGTGTCCTTGGGCGTCCATCGTGTTGTTCGTGAGCTTGAGCTTGCTGAACGAGACCGGGTTCGCGGTCCAATGGTGGCCGGGCGCCGGCGAGTCCGGGTGCAGCATCAGCCGCCTGGGGGACTGCGGCTCGGCGCCCCCCGCCGCCGCCCACGCGCCCCCCGCCCACCGCCAGCGCCTGCGCCCCACCAGGGACAGCTCCAGCAGCACGCAGTACTCCTCGCGAGGGTCGAGGCCGCTCAGCGAGATGCGCAGCGACGGGAACATGCGTCTGCGGAAGGATGGAAATATTTAAATAACGGCGAAGGCTTTTGGTGCCCAATTTTCAACAAACTTGTATATAATTTCCACACTCGTCAATAGGATATCAAGTTAATCTGTACAGATCGGAAATTGAAGGTGCAGTATGTTGACAGAAAAAAATAAAGTTCTAAAATTTTACGTTTAATGTAAAACACGTTTATTGCGTGTTGATTATAACTTCATGTTTACACTTAGGACATTCAGATTACGGCACTGTGTAGGTGGTGTAACCTTCCCCTTTAGTGTAACTGTCACTCAGAGGCATACAATAGTAACTCCACATTTTTCAAAATTATTTTTCATACACCATTAAAATAGCAAGAACAAATTCTACACAATAGTATAAAGCATTTAGTCTTACGACGCCTAATTAATAAAATCTCCAATCGTATATGACATCATAATCAATAATGCATTCAAGGATTCACTCACGTATTTTTGCCTCTGAGATACAGAATTGTTATTGGCACTGGAGCACCCGTAAATACTTCGAAACGATTCGTAATAATTGAATAATTCATTTTATACGTTTAAAATTTTGTTACAAATGTTTATAAATCTCGTGTTATAAAAGGTATGTAAAGCGCGATGGTTCCTGTTACCGGCGCGACGGCGGCAGGGTGGCCATGTATAAGTTGTGTATTGAGAGAAAAGTGATACCAACGGCGATTGAATAAAAGCTGTATTAATTTAATATAATATTGACCTTGTATACTACAGTAGATTAGTAATCACAAATGTTTATATAGGTTACACATATACCACAAAACTCTCAAAACTACATTTTCACAACGCAAACCATTATAATAATTGATAAACATCAGTTCTCATTCATATCGTCGATTGTTTAAAGCGTCACTTACATTTCAATTATTGATTTTTATACTTGAGGCACGTTTAAGATGCAATTATTGCTTTAAATTAAAATCATCTCCAACATATATTATATTCAAAAGTGTTTTCATGAGAGAGTAATATAGTTTCATACATTTGTACTAGAGTATATGTAAACGTTTGTGTTTTGTTGATGACATGCCTGCATACGAATTGTTAGGCTTTCATACAAATTCTTACGTTTTACAGATGCTACTATCAACAGCTCACGGCAATGCCACATTGTCCGTGAACGCTCTCTAAACGCTACACATATCGTAAAGCAACAAAAGCAAAACGCAAACACGACAGAGCGTGGCGGACAATAAAAGATAACCCCCGCGCGGGCTCTAAAACAAACTTAACAGAGAAACAAAGAAGGCGATAATAAAATTACAGCTCCCAAAAGGCGAGCGAGATGTACGGCGGCTCGGCCATTAATAGGAATATTTTATCGTGATTATAAAAGCGTGTGATAGCAGCGAGTGTGGACCAACGAGGGCTTTTGGCACCCGTTTGTTCGGCCGCGGAGTGATTGTGTCATAAATGGTGAGATACAGGTGGCGCCGGTGTTTATCGGAGCGATGGGCAGTCATCGACCGCCCGGGCGACGGCCGCTCTAGTGATCCTGTCAGCTTCTTTTCCTTCTGTTCGTTATGTCATCCTGGTATTAGCCAAAGATCGGCATTTTTGATTTGATTACTTGGAAATTTACGTCGATTCAACTTAATTCACGTGTACCGCCGCAAAATTACGTTTTACAGTTGAAATTATATATATCTCTACTATTTAGACTATAATCTACATAAACGTACATTTTCTTACGTAAGTCCGCTATTAGCTAGTGCTGGTCATTATCTTCATTTTCCCCTCTAATTCATGTCACAATAATATGAACACCGCCCTAAAAAGGTAAAATAGTATCATAACAACTTCAGACTAGTATACTAGAAGACTAGTACTATAGAAAAGTAATATACAACACGTATTACACTTTACCTTCAGCTAATGGGACGTGTAATACATCAGAATGCGTAAATAACAAAAGCCAACCCCTCGTCGGCGCGTCAACCCGCGGACAATCCGCCACTATCAGCGTAAAGGCGGAGCGGCCCATCAGTCATAACAGAGCGTTATCTGGGAGGCTGCGTCGGCCGCCGGCCGCGCTAATGCAACCCGCCGATAAGCCACGCCGACAGAAGTTCAATTAACAACACACTAAATTAGGCCCCATTTAAAGTTTACGAGCGCCGCTACTGCCTTACGTGGGCAGCGCGCCGGTAGGGACTGCCCAAAAGTATCGACGCTCGAAGCATGCGCTTTAAGGATCGCCCATGCAGTTCTTTTACGCCGCTTTAGTATCGATAAAGCCTTATTTATTTTAACTGCCGCAATTCAATTTCTACTATTTACAAATGCTCGCCAAAAATTTGTTAAAACAGTAGCATATAGCAAAATTTTCTGCAGAATTATTTTCAATATTAATATTTTTAGTTTAAAGACAAAACTATATGATGAGACTATGACTAATTTTTCTATTGATGCCCGATATTGAGTTTAAACAGTAAAAGCAACTACCAGCCCCTGAACATGTGCTTTCGACCGTCCAAAGCAAACATACAGACACTCAGCTTAAACACAAATATGTACACTCAATAGGAGTACGCGTCTCGTGTTGACCGTACGACGAATCTCGTCCGGGGCTACCGTTCCGTTCTTATCACTCACCGGCCACTTATCGCCGTTTGATGTCGCCGACAAAGGCGTGACACGCGGCCGGCTCGGCCTGTGCGAATAAGCGCTTACGCGATCACATTAAAAGCCGTAATAAGCCTTAATCGATGTGTTATCCAATAATAGAGTAGCGTGTGTGGTCGGCGGAGCTATCTCACCTGTTTATGGGCGTGTAAGACGCACAGATGTCCCGCTCGATCGAAATTAATCGAACCAATAAAATATTAACCAACCAAAATAAAGTGGTATGCATACGAAACGTGCACCCCGCAACATAGTATATGATTAAGAATAAATTAATAGTATTCGGATATGGGCAATAAATTAGCCGGGTACATTTTATCATATTTGATGTTCAATGTAAATGTCCAATGTTTAAATTTGATACTTTAACGATTCGATTTAAGCGTCGATGCAAATGAAATAAGGAGACCATAAAAACGGGCTGCCATAAAAGGGTCTCTCGAGGCAGCTAAGCCGGGCAAAGGCGCGCCGGTGGGAAGGGTCTTAGCGGAACACAATGGGACCACCAGAATCGCGCTGGATGAGCTTTAGAGTGGGCCGTAAATCGGTAACAGCCCGCCAATTGCCGCACGGAGGCGCTAACAGCCAAGGAAGAGAGCACATCCGCCCTGACATCCGCACTCGAAACGGCCGACGCGAAAACGACGCCGCCGACTTTACGAGCGACCCAGCCGACACCGCGGCCCCGACCTATCCCGATATCTTTACTGCCGATTTCATGGGAGTTTTATCGCTCAAGTTCAATGCTGCGACTCGAGGGCGGCCGTTAAGGGACAGTCGCGCTGTTGTCCTCGACATGTGCACTCGGTTTACACAAGCCCGGCGGCGCAATCAACAGCCTCTCTAATTCCCGGAGCGGGGACCGAGCGAGATTGCCCCCGCCCTCTCCCGCCCGGGGTCATTAGCGCGCCCGCGAGATCTCCGGCACGGTTTTTTCGTCCGCCCAGATGTGGTCCTGGGCAAACAGCCAGCCATTGTCCGGGCACATAAAAAATCGGACACCTGGAAGTGTCAAAATGTTCACTCGGGCTGCGCGAGCGGTCCGTGTGAATCGCCCCGGAACGTTCTCACGGAGCCCATGTTTTCACTGCGATTAACGCTACAATGCTATGGCGGTACAAATACGAAATAAGTTCCACGCACGGAACGTTAGATCGAATCTACTGCAGCAGGTGTTGGATTGCGTGATTGTTTTGGATTTAACTTTGAACGGATATTGATTGAGGCGTGAACGAAGACGCTCAAGCGATTTGGCCGCCGTGAGTTTTGATTGTGAAGTTATGAACTGTTAAGTACTAACGATCATAATAAAATGACATAAGTGCCGCGTGCGTGCGGGCTTTGGCACGCAAAGCCAGATGTGGAGTTGCGTCACCGCCGCGGCCGGCAGTCCGCAAATTGATAAACCACCGGTTAGTTAGTGCAATTCGATCCAGTCAAGAAGTCCTATGAGGAACTGACATTAATGAACGATGTATTCTATTAATTCTATTAGCATACATCCGATATTTAGGTATTCTTTTAGTTCTATTTGAATGTTATACATCCCATATTTAGGGTGGCATCAGTTAAATTTTTGTATGAAATTTAAACGTAATTAGCATGTTCCTTAAATATACACGTTGAAGGAAGAGGTGTGACATAGATTTTATATACCAAAAATTTTAATGTTAGATTTTTGACATTGTCAAAAAATGTGTTGATGTTGCGTACAATGGGTCGATTAATTATTTTTGGATTTTAGTAATGTAGCGAAGTAAAGCAGACGATTTCATTATCAACAAAGGCTTAAACTTTTGCACAAAGTTTTTCGAGGATAAAGCAAGTAGTAGGTAAATGGAACAAAAAAAAAATGATAATAAAATAAAAAAGGATCACTTGTTGATCACAAAAAGGAAAGAACCTGTTTTCAAATTAAATACGAAATGTTTTAAAAACAAACTAAACTCGCAACAAGCCGTAGCATATGCTGCGGGGTCGCCTCTGCAAATAGAGTTCACTCAAAAAGCAATAAGCTCGTAACCAAACAAATAAACCAATTGGGGCGCGGTCACAAAAAACCCTACGAAATCGTCTCGAGAGATATCGTCTGGTATTAGCATATTGATGGGCCGCGTCTATCTTTCGTTCTTTGTTTAAAATCAGCGACAGTGCTTTCAATCATAACGATTTTGACAAAAAGTCGTTTCGTTTTATTCGGCGGTCCTTGCCGATTGCGACTGCAGGTGGCGGCAGCCAAAAAAATAGTGGCGTTCGGACAACATCGGTTCATTACCAATAAATAACAGCTTTTTTCCGAAAAAGGTCAGAAATTTATTTTGTGATTGATAACCCATCTGATCCGTTGTTTTATAGCAAGTTAAATTTTAGTGCAATGTTAACGCAAGCCATTCGAATAGGAAATTATATTAAGACTAGTTTAATTTTGCACTTTTTCTTTTGTTTGAGTGTTTTTTATGTAAACGAAATTTTTATTTTACCATTTTTTCTTAAATTATTGGAGTAAAAAAAGATTTTTGACTAACGAAAACTAACAAAAAATTACCAGGATACAAGAAATATAAATGTTGTGTTTCAAAAATAATAAAAAGTACAGGTTAAATTAAAAAAAAAATTAAACAATTTTTTTATCATCTATGAACAAGAAGTTCTGTTTTTTTTTATTGCATTCTAACGGCGTCGGCACCAAATTAGCGACGTGGGACGTAATGACACGAGACAAAGATGGCACCTGCGTGACATGTTTATGCGCGGCTCAACTCCGCGCCAAATTTACGGCAGCCCACTAGCGCCGCCGCCGTTCGGAAATTGGAAATTTTTAATCACCGCGGCGCTCTTTGCCAATAAAGGCAGCCCCTCGGGCCGCGCAATTGAATCTGTTTCATAATGCATTCGCAGATTGTAAAATCGCTCTTTGTAAGCGCCGCTGCAATTAAAGCTCGTCTCACTTATCCGTTTGATATCCATTTTATTATCACGATATGTAATATCATCGTTGCAATTTTAAACTTTTAAGCAATCCGCTCGCATTTCTCGTGATCGCTCCTTACGGTACTGCTAAGACAACGGTCGAATTACACACTGAAATGAGATTATTACTGTAAATTATATTTTTCGTAACGTCGCAGATGAAATTAACACCGATCAAAGGCGGCATAATATGATATCAAGTGAAAGCAATAAACTGTTTTTATTATTACTTTAACTTATTTATGATCTGTAGTAATTATCCCACTTATTTTAATTTAATTTTTAACTGTTGCATTAGTGTAGAAATGAAAAAAATATTCCTTCTGTTTACCTTTACTAAGAAGTTCATTTATTTTCATAAGCAAACGTAAAACCTGTTTTTTTGTAAATGCCTTTTAGATACTGGTGTAAGTCTTAAACTTAAAGACCAAGAAGAAAAAATTCCTTTTTGTTTTCACGAATTACCATTTAAAATTATATTTTTTACTAGCTTATAGCCCGCGGCTTCGCTCGCGTTGTAGCCCTTAAATAAATATCTTTCTTTAAAAAATATCCAATAAAAAATAGCCTATGTCCTTTCTCAGACCAAAGACCTTTCTTTGTACCAAATTTGTGAAAGCGAGACAGACAGACAGAATTACTTTCTCATTTATAATATTTTCATTTTTAACATGCAAACTGTGCATGAGTGGAAAAACAAACAATAATTTGAAAACAATGATAATAGTTCTAAAGTCTATTTCCAATTCACTCATCTTTATATGAAAAGTGGTGACTTTTCAAGACATCACACCAGCGGCTCAAATCTAGGCACGTACCTTATCACCTCCAAGGCGCACAAATCACAAAGCGTCATGCCGGTTATGCACAAAGCATGGTCGCATTGGTGCTTTACGCTTCCGAAGCCTTTCGTATCGGCGCCGGGCTCAGCGGCACCCGTTTTGAAGGCGGACTCCGTAAATTGCGAACACGCGGCGATTCAGTTGACAGCCGCCGCGGCCGGTCAACGGGCGGGACAAAGCTTATCGCCGGCCGCATCTACGGCCTATTATGCGCCGTTTGACGCCGCTAACGGCCGACGGCGGATCGTAAAGATAACGCGCGACAAGTTGTACAAACGGTTTCAGTTCTTTAAGATCGATTCGACATGAGATATGCGATGTACGATCGATAACGCTCTGGAGTTTTGTTGTATCGGTTTGCGAGTTGTCACCCGCGAATGTAGTTTGACAAGTGGGGGTACAATAAAGGGTTAATAAGGCGGCACTTTTGAAACGGACTGTTCTATTTCTTCGATAACAAGGAGTATTTTCAACGGTTAACCAATTACGAGGTGATGTTGGGATGATTCAATCGAATGAAAAATTTAGGTTCATCATTTCTATCGTACATTTTAAATTATACTGGACTTTGAATTCAATCCATGATTACAATGAAATGGATATACTGCATTGTATAGAAAGCTGATATAAATTAAGGCGTTTGAAACACAGACTAAATAAAATAAATAAATGATGAGACTTTGATAGTGGACAAACGCTATTGCGGTTTAATTTAGGTGATCGTTTTTATTTTATTTTGTAAAAATTATTTCCCAAAAATCTGCTCACTACAAAATTGCAATGTGACGTTGAGCAGGGGAGAACAGCGTCCAATATTGGCGGTATTAACACATTGACAGGCCTCGTTCCGTTGCGTGGCCGTGGCGGCCTCGTGGCGTGCGTGGCCTGTGCCCGAGCAGTGGCGATCCCTCGTTAGCTCCCGACCCAGCATAAATCAAGCCGTTTTACGAGCGCCCGGGATTTTTTAACGTTGGACTTAATGAAATGCGAGCGCAGTATGGGACCCGGCTAGCGACATTAAAAACGACAAACCGTAAGCACGGACAGTTTCTAATTATAATCCTGTCAAAGCCCGCCGTATAAGGTATGAATTGATGATCGACTGGCCGCATCACGGCGGATCCTTATCTCAAAAGGCGATCTTGAAGATAGCGAGCGGTCCCCGCGCGTTCGGTGATTTCGTATTATATAACATTTTGTCTATGCCGTTGTCATAACGGTGACCGTAGACGAAATGTATTCTTTTTTATCTTACATCTGCTATAATAGTATAACGCTAAAAAATATAACTGTTTGAAAAACATTTACTTAATCATTATCTCGTTAAATTTTTTTATCGTCGCGATGAAACGATCGTGTTTTCATTTTGCTCTTTAATTTCACTTAAACGTATTTGATCTAATTGCTTAATCTCCATATAGAAATATGAGACGCGATTCCGCCGCAGATTAAAAATATACTCCCAAGTAGTTTCTAATAAAGTTAGTTAGATCTGAAGTTTAGTTAATTTGCAGAAAACCAGTCGTGATGTCGGACTTCAAATTGATTTTCAAAAGGCGCCGTCGACGATAAAATCATAGAAGAATTTTAACATCTTAACGAAGATTTGATTACATACTCGTAATAGCATGAAGCTGTTGCGTTTCATAGAGCGAGTGGTGGGAACCAAATATTAAATTAGTTGTACTTCCATAGCACAACTATTTTCAGCGGCGAAAAGTACTCACCCGCTAAAAGACTTGGCATGTCGATTTTCAGTATAAGTTAATACATTGAGATACCTAATATTTTCTGTTTGTCTGTTGATTAATTTTTTTTCGAAATTAATAAACCGATATCAAATCGTTCATCTAATTAATTCAAATGCAAAACCGCGTTATTCTTAAATAACAATTAAATAATTAAATTAGAATTGTGTAGATTTACTAGTTTCTAGTAAATTACAAAATAATGTAATTTACTAGAAACTAGTACAGCTGCCTTATTATAAGCGACTATGGCGAAATGGCTGATATTCTGTGACAATTCCAAAATGTCCGTTTACGGCGTTTACTACGTAATGTTTACATTCTGTAACTTTATCCAAACCCATACCTTTACCTAACATAGATTCGACTAGACAAGAATTCGAGAATCGGCACGAGCAATCTTCTTCTCTTTTGGAAAGAGGTGGAAATGTACATTGAGATGCGACAGCCACTTAGTGCTCGAAGCCCGGAACAAAAACAAAACACACAACAAGTCAGAGGCGAACTGGCGTCGATCCATCAGGCGCAGGATATTCGCTCGTCCTACCGTGATGCCGTACCTAGAAACGGGCTGGGGGCGCGCAAGCTAATTGGAAACTTATGCGCCGGTGGCACGGTCCTTTATCGCCCGGCGGAAGCGTAACGGCGCCTGTATTTTAGGAAGCTCTTCGGAGAAGCCAAAGCGCAGTGGAGTTCGCGAATTAGCGCTGGAGGGAGCCTCTGTTCCGCCGACAAAGGCGCCGCCGCACGCGAACCGCGTTTGCACCACGATTAATGCGGCGTGTGTTAATTGATATTAACTCGGCCTGTGTAGCGCAAGAGCCCGGCTTACAGCGTTTGGATCCAAATGGGACAAAGATTGGCGGCCCTGGATCGCTCTGGCCATCATTTGGTCGTCTTACGAACTTTTACAACAGTCTTGAAATCCAGATTTGGGTGTCGATCCTTGTAAATGTTGAAAAGGTAGTTCTTTATAATATTTTATCATAAGAAAATATAATAGGAATAGGAAAAATATTAATAGGTGTTTCACGATAACGCCACAATAAGTCCTCATTGAAAGATTGAAAAATCTGATAGTATATCTTCCACTGTAATACCATAAAGCACGGACACTATGTGAATGATGTTAACGCGAGCTAAGTTTATTATTTTTTGACTGTATACTCAAAGTTGGTGAGCAAACTAATTAAAGGCAACTTGCGAGAATTATGTAGGACTTGAAATTTAGACAAGCAATGTTTGGTAGAGGCTTAGGACAGGAATAATGGTTATGTCTAGTCGAACTAGTAGTTAACTTTTGTGCTAAGTTACTTTATTAGAAATTTAAACAAACTATTTCAAAGGTTATTTGGAGTCGCAAAATATGTTCACATAACTATAAAATCCTAACAACCAATAAACCTCTACTTATCGACCTATTATTACCGTACTATATCAGTTTAGTGCAGTAGAGAGCGCTCTTTGAATTTTATTTTATTTTGCCTGAAGATACTGCCCTTGGAACTTGACTAATTTTATTTATTTATTTAATTTTTATTGCACAGAAAATTGTAAAAAGGCGAGCTTAATGCTATATTGCATTTTCTACCAGCTAACCTAAAGTAGTTATAAATAATACATAATTAAATAAATAATATGTAATAATTAGATAATAAATCTAAAAACTACCAATATAAACATATATATATAAATATATATACATATATATACATACATACATACATATACACATAAATACATATCAGATGTTCATACATAGTAAGTACTATTAAGTAGCTAAAACTCAGCATATCCTTGCTCAAACTTTTAAAAATATTTTTTGTTGGCGATTGTCGCGATTTTGCTTGTAAAATTAATAAATATTATGTGTTAATTTGTTTAATGTTTAGACAAGGCAAAAGAATTTTGCTACAAACGTGATCAAAATATTTTAAAACATTGATATAATGTATATATGTATGTAGTTATAATTGGAGAAATTATGTGCTTCCTTGCGAGCTTACACATTACCTTTGACAATAGCAATATTACAGTACCTTCTAAAATATTAAAGTTTCAATATAAGGTATTGAAATAAAATAAAATGTATTAATAGTAAACACCGGTACATTTAAAGTATATTTCTTATTAACATAAACAATAGTGATGCTTTCGCTCAGTTACAGCATAGGGCGTAATTGATTTTAGGCGTTATGATATATGTAGACTAAATCATTATAACAGAAAAACAGAAGTTCAAAGACACTATTTAGAAAAAAAGTTTTTGAAGAGATAACATTATATAGATATATATATATTAATAGATATAATTATATTAGATTGTAGGGTTGAACCGAAACGATTAGTCTTCGACTACCACGACACATTTTGGCAAGTGAATAATATAAATAAGTAGTGAAAAACTAAAGATTTTTCGCAATAATGGTACGTGGCAATGCAGTCGTGGGTTGCTTATGTGCGTGCGTTGACCCGTTGCGCCTTTTTATTAAGTTTGGACGCCAAAGAACCCGTAGCGGGGTCAGCCCTGATCCTATTTCCTAGAGCGGTCCGCTGACCACTTCCGCTGGTTGTGGTACCACGCGTACTGGGAACCGCGTCAAGGCTGCTGCTAATGTGTCGAGAATAAAGACGCCGCTGCGTGCGCATACCACAATTAGTGGGCGGACCACGACATCCCACACGCGCTATTGACATTGAACAATTGTCACATATTTCACAGAAATGGGTCTTGGATGTCGCCTCGTTAGTCGGACGCCTTCAATTCGCCTATCGCCCGGTATCTGCGTGTTAACGTTAATTACTACATTGTGTCCACGTACAGTGTAGACTGGATGGCGTGGAGAGTTTCGCACGTTGAACCCAATGTGAGATAAGTCAATTCTTCCGTTTTACAATGATTTCGAATGTAAATCATTACATTTTATCTTATAATGACATAAGTTATGAAACTGTTTTGCGGATTTTATCGTGTTTGATTTCAGTTTGAACTTATACACGTTTCGAGTACTTTACAATAGCTATGCTCACAACATAAAGTAAGGTGTTTGACGTCCAAATGAAATGACTTACTCTCACTACTGTCGTCTATTTAGAACGGTAGTCAATATCGTGACTTATTTGACAGTTGCAACAGTATAAAAAGACACCGATTTTCCCGCGTTTTTTAACGATTTTATCGATCGATTGGATAAAATATAATTTTATATGAATAAAAGTAGCCTTTTGTAGTCCGAGAATACTTATTAATAGCAGTAGTGAACAATATTTTAGATCCGCTTTAGTAGTTTCACAAATAACCCTTTAGTTTGAAACAGGTATTTTTTTCTAGAACGTGAAGTACCCAAGAAGTAATAGAACGGGAAGTGCCCAGTCTTACAGAAGACCGCGGTAAAGAGGAAGTATTATACTTTCATTTTTCGTCTGAGTAAGAAGACCGAAGCCCACTTTTCAATAGGTTAGCAAAGCATCTGCAATCCGCCAGGTGTTGTAGATGTACACCGTCAACGGTTATCACTTAACATCAGGTGAAACTCACTTGCCATATTTCGTTGCTCTTCACTCACTTATCATTGTTTCGCTTGGTAAAACGTTATTGGTATTTTCTTTGGACGAAGATACTGGCGTCTTAACATTACATTCCGGTACGGACATCCAAAGCAGCCAGCGTCATTATAAGATGTTTCCATGTTGCCGTAACTAGGCAGCGGCGACACTTAAGCGACACTTTTATTCGAGAGTCGTGCATCATTCGAGTGCACCCATTTTTGGTGAGCAGTACGCGCCGCGACAGCATGATGACCTGCGCTCATTTTAGCCGCACGCCATTTCAGCCGGTAGCCCGTTTGCTTAGTGGCTAATGTTGTTTGTATGTGGCATGGGGGTTATCGCCTTGGGTTCCAGTAGCACGGCGATAGAGATCGCGGCGTGACGTTGCGATACGCGGGCGAGGCGATGTCGCGGCGATGCTATCTGGAGGCGCACGGGTGGCTGCCTCCACCCTTCTGTCTTGACGGATGATGCTTATAGAACGGCAGCGTGACAAGCCGTGGCTTGACTTATTTAAACCTTAGTATCTACTTGACAGACGAGATATGAATTAAAATATTGAAATATGAAGCGTAAATCATCGACAAGTGGGTTACCGATGAATAAAAGCCTGGGAAAATCAAGAGGCGGGTTCGAAAAGAACAGACAATTTTCAGGAATTATTTTGGTATTTACAACTATCTTTTTTTTATTTGGCCAAAGTAACATGACTCTTGATTATTGTACATTAATATAAAGCTACGTAATACCAGTTAGAAGCAAACGGTTTGGAAATAAACGAAACATTTCGGTTCAAGATTCAAAATATTTCGGTTCAAGATCTAAATGAATAAAACGAATAAAAATGAAATTCCCAATGGAAGGTTTGTGCGCTATGATATATGGTGGCGCCAGAAAGCATTTGCATACGGCATGGTAAGGGCTGAGGACACGGTGCGGGCACGTCTGAGATCTTATCCCGTGCCTCGGCGGAGTTTTAGGCTCCGTGGACGGTTTTCGTTGCAACCATTAGTTGCTTATTTGCATGAATTACATTTTAAATCCAAATAGAAATGTGAGAAATTCGCGTTCTAGAATGCCAAGCATCTCGTTACTTATTACGCTTTTTTTTAAATTATAATTCAATAACTGCCAGCATGTGAGGCCATTCATCAACGACATTCACAACGAGGGAATTTAAACGTCGAATGTTTAATGTTTAAAAAGAAGACGAATACGACAGTTGGGAACAGTTTAAACGCGTCGCGTCGCGTCGCCGTGAAGCGTGCGTTGCGTGAAACGAGACAAATTTACAACTGTGCCATGTTTTCACTCACGCTGCACGTACGCGCCCGAGTCTTGATGATTTTTATGAGTGACGGAGCACCCCACGCTGGGCCTAGCGGCCGCCGAATTATGGACACGTAGCGTCGGACCCTGGGATCTTATCGCGGTTTCTGGTATTAGATGCCATCAGACTCCCGCCGTTCGGTGGCCAGCGGAATGTGTATTAGGTTTCGGACTACCGTAACGAGAGAAGGGTGATTGAGTGTGAACTGTCGAAAACCGCGTGCCCAAATCGTTTGGGCCCAATGAGATTCTTTTACCTGTGTTTTTCAAAAAGAACATTAGACGGAAACAACGCTCCCATAATACGGTATCGCGTCGTAAAACTCTAAAACGTATCGTGTTCATTCCGAAACAACGCGAAATTGAACGCCTCCGCAAATCTGATATCGATGTAAAATATGTCCGGCCTTTATAAAATTAAAAAAAAAACATGACGCGCGTCGTTGGCCCACATTACAAGTTGTTAGCAAACCGAATCGGAGCCCGTGAGAATAATTCCAGAGTTCCACGTAACATGGGTTAAACGCTTGTATCGGGAGATACCGATCTAACCCGCGCTGCCCGTTGGCGCCATAAAAACAAAACATCTCCAACACGACCACTTTCTTCCCTAAATTATTCGTGGAATTTACGACGTTTCGACGGACAAAATGTTATAACCTAATGAGAAATTATCATCAGGGCCGCCGTTCTCGGGCAAAAAACTGATCGTGCGCCGCGTTGTGCCGTTGCGTTGATGGGGGAATGCGTATTTTTTTTACCCGCGGTCCAAATTCAATTTATCGTTTTCGTGTTTGTTTCTTTTTTTTATTTGAATCTTTCGATTGTTTCAGTCTGGACGAGGCGAAAGGCACGGGAGCTGCGCTGACTGCGCATATTTTTCCTTAGTCCGTCGCGCGGACGTGGAAATTGAGGGATGTTCTGCTTAGAGCGACGTGCATTGCTGCGCAGACGCGCGTTGCCGTGTATGTGGTGCGTTTAATTGCTGCAATGGAACGCGCCGCGGCGGTGATGTCTCGGCTAATCAAGGGTGGTTCGGTCCCTGGGGTGTTGCGATATGATCGCTCGCTGGCGACGACGCAGCGGCGCGTGCTTCGGATACTTCGCTCGCCTCCATCCGTAGTTACTCATTACGTCCGATGACGTTACGCTTTTTGTTAGAAACGACAAAAGCCCTTGCGTCACCTAAGCCTTTATTTCGTTAAACGTTTTCTATCATTCTTGAGGTGTACAAATAACACTTTACTGATATTACTGTAATCGTCTCCCGTTGCCGGACTTGACGTTTTTCTGTCTATAAGTGCTCCAGTTTGAAGTTCATAAAAAAAACTAGAGAGAAGGAGAGAAATTTATCTTTCTCGTTTACTTCATTTCGATTTCGATCACCGGATGTGGCTGACGTTAGAGAGGAGGGCCAATGTCAAAATTTCTTTCGTGGGTGAAGAGTGACACGGCCGCTCGATGGAGAGATGCGTCTAGGTCGGCTGTCATAATCTGATTATTAGCGCTGAGCTGGGCGGGGCGCGCGGCGGGCGGCCGACGGCTCCCCAGGCGGTCGGCGCCCGCGCAGCTCCCTCTCGCACCCGGCCGCGCGCCCCCGAGCGCGACAGAGACGGTGAACGGGCCGCGCAACACGCAGGCGACAAACGACCCGTGGTAAAACAAAAGGAATGCTGCCCGGAGACGCTTTGAGGCGCCGGCGCCGCTCCCCGCGCTCTAATCACCCATTTTAATTACGACACAGATCGAATCAATTAATCGGTATTCCTGTTAGCCGGGCGCATTCAACGCAAGAACACGCCGCGATCCGATATGTGATTACGGCCCCGCGTCACGAGCACGGTTAGGGCAAAGAGCCAACAGCACCGAGTGCTCCGACAGCAACCACCAACGAAACGGACGCGCACACAGACGGTTTTAATTATAGCCTTATGGTTTTTTCCGAGCGAATTCGGGCGCGCCCTGCCCTTCGGATAGCGCGGGGAATAAATAACGAACGAGTTTTTGTGACGTCTGTTTGTTTTTAAAATGGCGGGAGGTCCGCGCGACGACACGCGAGCGATCCGCGCCGGCGCGCCTCGCCCATACGTCATATTTCGGTCCCGGGGGGAAAAAAACAAATAACCCACTCCATACTAACCGATGTTTGTTTGCTTGCGCGATGATTACCGAAGGCCTTTATTGTCTGTGGCAACGGACAGATGAACTTTGTCCCAGTTTTTACTGCGCCGTTTATTATTTCAACTTGTTATTGTTTGTCGTCCTAGTTTTTGATTATTTTTCTTGTAATAATGCGAAACATCTCGTGACATAGCCGAGCTCAAATATTTCACAAGCAAAAGATACCTTTTGCTTTATGTAGTTTCTTACCAACCATACGGATTAGTGTGTTCTCTGTAGTACGTGGTCATTAACAAGAGTTACCAGGTGGGAAAATTGAGACGCTGTGGAGACACACACACAGAGCTGGCCGGGCGCAGCAGGTGTTAACGCCGACTATATACACGCCGTCCGGCCCCGCTTGCACAAACGAACCGCCCAAATCCCGCTGTTTGCGCTACCAATTCACCCGTCGCAACCTTCGCCCCACTCCTGCGTAGCAACGAACATATTTGATCAAGGGCTAAAAGGTCCGAGGTGGGTTCCAATTTGAGCAGTTCCCGAACGCAATCCCGAATAACTAAATTACGGCCGACCTCGGTTTTAACTAGGCTTCAATGCGGGAAACGAATTAAATATTTGTGGCGCCGGGTACGGCGCCGACGGGCCCCGGGCCGTCATTACTACAAAACAAACAAAACTGACCCGCGGAGGGGCGCGGGCGGCTAACGAGATTCACCAACGGGCCCGGATAGAGCGGTACATTATCGTGGCGGAGCTGCGGTGGTCCGCCCGGGGCTGCGTGACGTCACGGCCACGCCGCGGACGGTGCGGACTAATTGCTGCGCCCGCGCCGGCAAAAAGCCGACAGCGGACGCGGCCGCGGCGGCGGACTCCGGCGAGGGAACCGACTTTTTGCCGTTCGCGCTCATTGCGACGCGATGGCTATCATGCCCGTTAATACCGAACGTCAAGAGCGCTCAACCCGTGTAACGATCGCTCGATTGACTTAGCACAAGCTCAAACGGCTCTCCGTGACGTTTTCGCTAAATCCGCAATCGGTATATACACGTCGTTTATCATTCTTCTGACGTGTTATCTTCTACAATTAAAACGTGACATACCGATGCGAGATATGCATTGTCTTGCTAACGAACGAATGTATAATTATGGGCGCTGACACGAGAGCCCGCACAGGAAATCTCGGAGGCGCCATGGCCGCACGGCCCGAGCTATCTCCGCTGCCGCATTCACATTATCGATGACGACGGGAAAAAAGCTAATTGCGGGGCCACCGCCGTAAAGCAAACAAGCTTATAATAAGATGTAATTTGTGCTCGGCCATTTAGAGAAATGCACGAATTATCGGGCGCAGCTGTTTGTTTTCTCTATGACGGAGGTCCAAATTACGGCGTTAACAAGCCCCGCGTCAGATTCGGCAGCCCTAATGGGATTTCGTTAGGTTGTTTCAGTTTTTTGCTCCGTTTCTTTGTTAATATAATTCGAAATATTTATGGCTATCGTGTAATGTGTTTTCTTAATTGCGGCCCTCGCGTCGCGACAGCTGCGACGTTTAATTGACTACATTACTAATACGGGCCTGCTTTTTCCTATGGGGCAGGTTGAAACATTGCAGGCTTGGACGCGTTGTATCGGCACGGAGTCCGATGTCGCTGATAATTAGTGTCGATGTCGCGTTTAGATTGTTCAGCGCGTTAACGCGCGGGAGGACAGAGCGTAATGGTTTTTCGTACATGTCTGAGGATTTACTGTATGTGTAACACTTCAGTCAATTGCTCGATTTCGTTAGCTCGAGTTTTATTGAATAAAAGGCATGTATCGTTTATATCATAACTCCGTACGACGTAGGTAATTTCGTTGTAGAAAGTTATCATCATTTTTAATCTTTACCTATGTGAAACATTACTCGATTAGAACATTAATCGATAAGAGTGTATTTTTAGTCAGTCCGTCACAGCACTGTCGTGGAATACCCAACCCGCATATATGTGACTTATTATATATATATATATATGTGAAATTATTGCAAAACAAAACGTCAATACGAAAATCACTTCATTCCAAACATTTAAGCAACACTATACACACTGTTTACGTGTACCGTGTGATTTTTAATAAACATAATATCGACCATAAATAAAAGGAGTCATGCATATGTGTACGGCAGGTATGTTACCTTGTCTCTAATTACGTTCGCACACTGATTCTTATCTAACCCACATCTCTCGTTCGATATCGCATCGATCTCGAGTTTTATTTGTGCACGCTAATTAAATATACAAATGCCGTTCACGTACTTTATTAGGAACATATCATTTAACGGCCTTTTGCTAAAATGTATTAATACGACAACGGCTTTTTCTGTTTTAATTAGCCGAAATCCGAGACCTCTGTTGAGTGCAACGTATTTGAAGATGTCAAAGGTATTATTGGCATACTGTGTTTTAAAGATATAATCAGATTTGCTACGGACGATTATTTTTCGACAATCGTTTGACAGAAGTATATTTATAATGATTTCATGTATGTACTTCTATGAAAACATTATTCAATAAAACGTTTTTACGAGATTTATCGAGTTCACAGATTTTTTTAAATACTTAGTTCAAAATATGTAAAATACTTTGATAACTTTTTTCGACTAATTTACTAATTATTCAAATAATTTCTCTTAAATTAACTATTATTCTACTTGGAACAATTATTTATGATTATAATGCGTCTAATAATACTATCAAGACCCTACTGTTAGTTAAAAAGTACTTTAATATTTCGATTTACCAAAACAACTGTTAAGTTGAACCGCTGTTAATGAATGTAGCAAGATAAAACAAGAAAACGGCCGACGAAAATTAGATTCGAAGGTGTAAAAAATGTTATTATAAATTAATTCTAACGGAAAAGTTTCACAATATTAATATTGTCATAAGTTTTGTGTTCCGAGATTTTTTACGGTCTTAACGTTCCTTGTGGTCATTAAAAATTTGTGTAGCGTTAAGGAACGCCACACATTAATGTGATAAATATGTACATTTGAAATACATGTGGATATCGGTTTCAATGAATATTTTAACTGAGTGTTATCGCAGACGCATGTATTATCAATGAAGAAAATCAAAAAAATTAAATTTCTATTAAAAGCGAGCTTTTAAAAAAAATTATATAAAAATTAAACATGTAAATGCGGGGTCTGGTTATAACTTTTTAAAATTTTTGCGTCGAAAGTAAAACTCTCGTCGGTACCGTTGACATCAATTGTTTGAACGTAAATTATGTATTCTAGATTCCAACCAGTGGTTCTCAACATGTGGTCCTCGGAAAGTGGATCCTCCGTGAGGCTAATTCAAATGATTCGCGAAAAATTAACCTAACCATTTGTGCCTTTAAAAAGAAATTTAACAGATCACTTTGAAAAATTATGATATTTAAATATCTTAATAGGTTTGTTTTTTACGTTTTTAAATATAAAATGTTGTGGTGCAAGTGATATGCTGTTTTTATCACGGCATGCTCGAACACTCATGCATTGCAAAGGCTCAGCGCGAAACTTGCATCTTTTGTGAAATCAAAAAAGTTGAAAAGCGCCGTCGGCAGTGTAGCAGATGACACTGCGCTCGGCATGTCGCCTGTTAGAGACAAAAGGAACGTTCTGGACTCACCGGCCCCCCTTGGTGATGATCATCTCGGTGCCTATGTCGTGGAAGCGGCGCCACAGCTCAGCGTTGAGCAGACGCGCATCGCACGCCGGCGGCTCGGCGTCCGCCCCAACTCGGTGCTCTGTGGACGTTGTTGTCGCCGTCAATTATTCAGGTTTTGTCTATGGTTCGTTTGACGTTTTTAAATGGGCAGTAGACACGCTTATACATTTATGGTGTGTTAGCTGTCATCCGTTAAACATTTTTCTTATATGCAACGGAGTTGAATTAAAGTTTATTTAAGTGACGATTATTTATGATATGCATTCGGCTGAAGATATCGATTCTTTTTACTAATAAATATATGGAACAGACGAATGATACTCTGAAACTATTATTATGTTCTGATACTATTATTATTTTTAAAAACTAATTACAAACGGTTATGAGTTAGATATCGTTAGGATCTAAAAGCTATGTGAATGTCCATATAAAATTTACTTGAAAACACAATATTATTATTGTAGAAATATTGCCAAAAATATTTTTATCCGTGGTTTTATCTGCTTTCTTCACATATTACCGCCTTATAAATATTTAGAACTTTTAAATACCTGTGTACTAATATTAATTACAAATGAACAACTGTTTATTTCAAGGAATGTATTAAAATATAGCAATATTTAAAATAAAATGTTATTATGAAACAGCATTTGCTTTTGAAAAATATTTTAGAGCCACGGATAGGTTTGACTTCATTCAATTCCAAATAATAACCACCTACAAATAATTGTTCTGGAAATCTATATTTATATACTTATACTTTATGTACACAAAATACGTACAAAGAAGCACCTACTGCCATCAGTATTATCTACCGGTCAACCTTGGGGTAATTCAGATAAGTTTTAATTGGTGCATACAAATTAAAGGAAGCATTAAGTAATAAAACCCACAAATAATTGTTCTCCAATTTCTTCTGAAAATCGATGTTTATTTATTTATAATTTATGCTTACAAAATATGTACAAATGCTCTCATAAATAAATGGATTATTCTGTTATAGAATTGTAATTATAGAAAATACAAATCTTTTTAATTTTAGGCTGGTTTGTTTGTTGGTTTGTCTCATTTATATCCGAGAAGCTTTTGATAGCATTGTAATTATCGTGAACAATTTATGTTTGCCCTTTGACTTATGGGTATGACATTATTTCAGGGAAACCTTAGGGCCTAAAAATAGCTATCATAACTACCGTTTAATCGTCCGACGCCTTGCGATTTTTAAAAACTACTAAATAAATGATATTCTTTGCTGTTTATCATATGATATTATATTTTTATAGTGATAAATTTGTTTGTCTTTACCGTATTAAAGAATAATGTGTACATAACATATAATAACAATAAGAGGTCCAGAGGTAACCCAAAAAATAGATGTAAAGATGTAGTGTTGTCTGTGTCGTCGATAGTCGACGATAGGGCGCAGTGGAGAGCTTGGAAGAAACTTTGTACAAAACAATGAGAAAACAACGAAAACCAGTGCAGTGACCATTAATAATTTAAAGTAACCATAGCACAGTGAAAGCCTATAAAATAAAATTATATATGTAATAAAGTTCGAAATTCTAAATAAAATATTAAGGGTAGCTCAAAATTCTGTAAATCACCCCTAGATTTGTCATATTCATCCAATGTTCGTTTATAATTTCAGCTCCGTGAAGGAAACTAAAGCTTCATAGATTTTTCTTTATCGTAATAAAACTAGGCCACGACATTTAATTTAAATTACTCTCAGATAAGTTATTTTTTTTATTAATAACAGTTTTTGTTTATGGTTCTACGGGGAACCGTTTTGAAATGTTTTAAATGCAGTATACGGTAAACTGCCCAACTAGCAATATTTTCTTACGTGAAAGCTGTACGTTGTAAAATATAATTTTTTTAGTCACGTTTTTTTAATCAACTGTACATGGACAACTCCAAATCAAACATCAATTAAATCTTATACGTAACATGTAATGTGATATGTAACAATGGATCAATCGATATATAAAAACACAAACATAAAATTATAGGTTGATCTGTTCTGAAGAAAATGCAATAATTAAGGTGCAATAATTCATGCGTGAAATCTATAAATTACCTCAAAATATCCTATCCAAAAGGCGTGTTTACTTGTGGGGACCAACGCACATCTCATAGAATTTAAGTAGTCAAAGCAGTTATAATTTATTTCAAACTGTGGTAGGGCTACGCAACAGTCTTCTCTGTTGCAAGAATGGACAGGTACGTCCGGCCACGACCGCACAGAAGACCAGCATGAAGTGGAAGTGTTACACTTCTGCGTTTCATCTGCTGAGTGAGGTAGCCGGGGCCTACTTTATTAAAACGTGACAACACATTTGCAACCTTACGGATGTTGCAAATGTCAACAGGCATCGGTTATAATTTAACATCATGTGAACCGCCAGCTAGTTGGCCACCTTCTCACATAAACAAAAGCTTTTGAAATAAAATGAGAATCCCTTTGTGAAATAACGACTCCTTCACAGAATTCGTATAACATTATTAAGACGTTAATCGTATTGGACGGACATAATAAGCTGCAAAATATTGCAAGATGTATGCAAATTTTATTTCCTTGAAGAATTATGATATTATGTGAATGCATTAACCTTTTGTTTATCAACTAACGATTGTTTTTGGAAAAAATGCATAACCGGATATACTTTGCAAGAAACATAATCAAATAAACATTATTAATGTCCTTCCTTCGGGTTTTTGATGGACTTGAGTGTCTCTATTTGAATTTAAAATATAAAATATTTGTATATATGTAATGTATATTAATGAACATTTATATATACAAATTTTATTATTTAAAAACGAAGGTACTAAAACCGCCCTGTAAAAGATTTCAACGGTTTTTTATTGCTGTCTTTTTAATCTTCTTTCAAAAGAAATCATTAAGACAAATGAACAAAGTAAATTGGTTTTAAACTATAGAGTGTGTGTAAATAATTTAGCGGCTTAATTTTATTTCAAGAAATGGATCTGAAACATTAGTCAAAATTATCTTTTGATTATTCGAAAACATTATTGACAACACAAAGGCTATATTAGAGACTCAACAAACACATAATATCTGCAATGTATTTGTATACTGAATAAATGTTAGCGTTGTGTAAATATTTAAAGAGTATGTAACAGCTTACGTAAATATTGGAATTCCTAGAATCAATATCCACGTCAAACGGTAACCTTTAACCTCTGGTAACTTATGAACGTATTAAATTTATGTAAAATTTTGAAATTTCATAACAACGCGCAAGTGTCTATGTGAATAAATACATTTTTTATTTTTTTTTATTTTGGATCACTATTCAAAAGTTTGGTACTCACGCAAACCGCTCAACGATGCCGCGTGCAACATTTGCTGCCTCAGCAGGTACTCCCCGAAGTGCGCCTGATCCATCATCATCCTATTTAAAGCTCCAACAGTTCCAACAGCTTCGATTTCGCCGAATCACGTCACAGAACCATAACAACCGAGTGCCGGCCGATGAACAGTTCAGGTGTAGCACAAAAACACGCGTTCAGATGTTCATAGTTGGACAAACGGGGGGGCTATTGCCGCGTGGCGTTAGGTCGACGGCTGTGGACACACTGAGCGAGTTCGCATCTCGCGGGCGTCGCGTGCGCACAGCCACGCCTCAAAGCCCCATTGGCCGCCGCCCGGCTAATGGCAGCTTAAGGTAGAGCCTCCAGACTCTACACACCTTCCGAGCTTTCCGCCCGCCTTCGGTTCCGATGCGACCGGGCATCACAATCGACGCGTGGGCGCAGCGACACGGCATTGTCTCGCCATTATGGATGCGACAGCCGAATATTAGCATGATAGCCCGGCGTCCGATACATTAAAATATCAATATCTATGTTGTTACCTGGCGGTGTAATCCGACCGCTACATGCAGCTCTATCACTTGTTGATGTTAAAATTATTTACTTTTCCTTCGTTGATATAAAGGAACAATTTTGAAATTACGCACTTTACCAAAGTCCCATGATTTATCTCAAATGTTCTTGAAAAATATATTGTTAACTAGCTTTTCGCCCGCGGCTTCGCGTTGCAGCCCTTAAATAAATATCATTCTTTAAAAAAATTCCAATTTTAAAAATAGCCTATATCCTTTCGCAGGCTCTAGACTATCTGTGTACCAAATTTCATTGAAATTGGTTCAGTAGTTTTGGCGTGTAAGCGAGACAGACAGACAGAGTTACTTTCGCATTAAAAATATTAGTATGGATCAATTATCGATGACCTTTTTAATGCTTAATGGTGGTTTGTTTTGTGTTTTAATATAAGAAAAGTTATTTGTGCCACGGTTATGAATTGTTGAACAAAAATTAACTATTTTACTTATGTAAAACTTTAGCAAGCGAGCAGGCGATTCACCTGATATTAGGTGATTGCTGTCACCCATATACATCAATATACCTGACGGGTTGCAGATGCATTGCCAACCTATTAAAAGACTCCGTTTATCGCACTCACCAGACTCACTTCAGTCTTATGTAAGGCCGTGGTCCTTCCCCGGACGAGCCTGCCCATTCTTGCAACAGCAGTAGCTGTTATGTGGCCCTACCACCGGAAAATTAACTCTATAGTCTTTGCTTTTTTTTTTGGAAAACGGATAAGGCGTCCATAAAATTCACAGTCAGTTAAAGAAACGTGACGGTTTAATAATAATATTTCTTTTGCGTTGCGTTTCTGTTGCGTGGATAGTGTATCTACCTCAAGCGCCCAAAGGGTGTGGGTTCGATCTCCACTACTGGAAAAATATTGTGTGATGAACATAGTGTTTTTCTAGTGTCTGGGTGTTTATAAGTGTATTATATGTATTTATTTACAAAAAGAAAACTATGCTGAAGTATATTTATTAGTTATCTAGTACCCATAGTACAAGCTTTGCTTAGTTTGGGACTAAAAAACGTTGTGTAAAAATGTGTCCTAAAATATTTTTTATTATTATTCCCGTGTACGTTCACCGCCTAAAATGTACTAAATTAGTCAATGTAATTTCTAATGCGTATGCATTTGCCGGTCATTTATATCCACGGTACACACAAGAACCCGTTGTATCAGATCGTTACATCTGTGATAGCGGCATTACACGGCAAGCTCCGTACAACAGATGAGAGTCGAGATCATGACAGATTTTTTTCCATTAAACTTCAAATATTTTTTTAAACATTTTAATTAAATAGCTACATTTCATCCTTATGCCATTGCACAGGTTCGCTGTCTTTAAATTCATAATAGCCAAACAATAACATTTAGTTTATGTTTTCCTAAGAATAAACATTTATCTAATGTCAATGCAAATCATGCAGATATCACAGATTACTAATTCGACTTGTCTACTTCGATAACGAAAATTATCATGATTGCTACGTTCATAAGCAAATATATTTATTGTCTTAAATTGTATGCTTTTCGTCAAGTGATAAATATGTTGCCTAATTTATTAATAAACACCGTGGCGTCATGCTTAAGTATTATTATAAAACTTTCTTAACAACTTCCAAGGGTTCTGTTGTGTTTTTTATGTAGGTACGTTTACCGCTCCGCCATTTATGGACTAAATTCTCAAAATTATTTTTCTGATATCCTTATTACAGCATTTTCATTAAGATGGATTGATAGTGGCGTTTAAAAACTAGACTTGTACGACATAAATAAAACGACTATTGTAAAATGAATATTATCTATGCTGTTGATGTCGTTTAATTATTTAAATTTGTGTTCAGATCTCTACGCTTTTAGCCAACAAACCTATATTATTTTAGCTATATATCTATACACAAGTTTTAGAAAACTTCGTAGTCTTACTTGGTGTAATTACTGACCATCGTTTATACAATCGTTTTGTTTATACAAGATTTCATGCCAGCACAATAAGTAACATTCGTATCTATGCCTCCGTGGCAGTACTAAAACAAGCTTACATTTTTTTTATAAATAAAACATTAATTTGATGAAATAATCTCATTTAACATAATTTAATTATTAATTAATCTACATACAGCCGCAAGGTCGAGTAATTGTTTCGTAGTAGATTGTCATTGCAAGTTCGAGTAGTACCTAAGTAGATAATATCAGCAGGTTATAAACCAGTACATTTTGATTAACAAAAACAAAATCGACTTAATATATCTCATTCTCTATACATCTTCTATACCCATATCTCTATACCCCATATACATGTATAATATGATAATAGGCAACATACATATGACGAATAGATTTATTGAGATTTAGTGAGAATATTTATAACTATCCAAGATACTGGATCCATCAGCGTGAATTACGAATATATCATCAGGGCATATAAATTGCAGACCTATTATCTTGACGTTTTTTTTAGAATCGATCGCTTGAAGAATCGATCTGAGAATCAGGCCTTTCTCCATCTTCTTTAGATCGACACCACGGAGACTGTTCATTAAAAGAAAAAATGCTACTAATCTTGGTTTCGTCAGGACGAAGGGACAAACAAACGAATCAAAAAACGCATTTTTCCGAAATATGAATAAGCTTTTTGATTCGAAATACGTTCCGGTAGAAAATTTTATTACTAACTACTTATTTAAATTTAACTTTTTTTGGTCCAATTGATTGTTAGCTTTTTAAATAATTATTTAACGAACACGGAGATTTTTTTATCCCACGTGATGGTGACAGTGATTTATAATGTGTTATTACAAAAGTTGACTAGGTTACATATAAAAGCTTTATTTATACAATTTCTGTCAAAATTGGAGAAAGCGGCGAAGAGTTTTTTTTTTCAGATACGAATAATTCACCATCAAGTTGAGGAACATGCCGTGATTTGCTTCTTGCGAATAATGTATTTCTTTATGGATAATATCCACATTTATTTCATTTGAGGCAGATTTAGCTATAACTTTACATACACACGATTCCTTTTCGTAAGAAGAGAAGCCCATTTTGGTTAACATATTGCGTAATAAACCAACGCAAGGGCGTGCAAATCAGTAGTCTTAAGTCGCAAGACATTTCGCTTGGAAGCCTTTGTGACCGAGTGTAGAGCACGCGTGGTCATTCCAGATGAATTCACATACAGTCATCATTGCAATCGCTACAAGATCCTTTTTAGTAAGTGGTGTATATAATTGGGGATTTTTGTAAATATATTGCATAATAAACCAGTGCAAAGGCGTGCAAATAAATAGTCTTGAGGACAGTTCGCTTCTTAGCATTTTGACGGAGCGTAGAGCAGGCGATACATTCCATCCGAATAACACGTACAGTCATCGCCACAATCACTCCACGATCCCCTTATCAACGTGACTCGCTTTCGCAGCGGGCGCAATCGCGCTCGGCTTTATCGAAGGCATTGTCTTCGCGGCTTACTCATTGCGCTTTGACCCTAATCACCGGAAGCGGCCAAATCGCAGTTTTCGAATGCCACCCTAATGAGTTGCAAAGGAACTGTGCCCGATTTACGCGTAACGCGACACAATATGTCGTGTGAAAGAGATTAGTGTCAGGCTCGAAGATTAGCAGTCGAGCATTCTTCAGTTACATCCTTAGTGGGGTAGGTTAAGTCTTTAATTTGCTCTAATGGAAATGATATGTAAAAAGGCAGTGAAGCAAAGATAGTGCTCGGAAAGAAATGATTTATAAAATAGTAGTAAAGATAGATAGGCATTCAAAACGCTTACTAGAAATAATGTACGTGACATTGTTTCTTTTGTGTTCTGCACGTAGATAAGCTTTCACATTGTACTAATTACAACCTGTTAGCAACCGGTTTAGTTTAATTAACTCTTCAGAATGATTTACCAACCTATCCTAATTCTTTTCTTCTCATAACGACCTTCTAACCCATTACGTAATTATTACTTAAATTAACAAATAATAATTCACCATTTATACAATTTTGATGCTTTATATTATTTACAAATGTGTGATAGTAGTCTGAATAGACTATGAATAATGTTTGAGTAAATATTTTTATAAATGAATGAATGATGTGCAAAATTTTTCTTTTGTTTAAAGGTATAAAAGTTGGCAAATGAGTTTGTTCGTTAGCGTTATGGCAATTATAACTGCGGTCCATGGACAACTAACATCCTTTTGATTATTGTAGGAGTATTTGGGCTTCAAGTATTATCGGTCTTCTGAGAGACCGTGGTACTTTCACGCGCCGCTCATGCTGAAGTTGCTGCGTAGCTAGGTTTTTTACGCACTAGTGTATATAACATTCAATATTAGGTATTTTTAGGGTATTTAAGCTGTGATGGTTCAGTGTCCGGGCACTTGCCGCTAATTCAATATACTCGAGTAACCTGAGTTCGAACCCCGGTGCCAGCACCAATGAAATTGTTAATTTTAAGTGCTGACTTATCACGTGCTGAGCGGAGAAGGAAACTATTAATAGGAAACCTGCATATTTTCGAAATGATAACAAAAAAAATTTCGAAGATATGTGAAGTCCGCCATTCCGCAGTGGGGCAACCTGGTGGGCTATGGCCTGATACCCTTTGTACGGAGGAAGCCTTTGCCCAGCAGTGGGACATTTACGGGCTATTACTTTTTCTTTACTTTACTAAATTATCTAATTCTTAAAATTAATAAGATATTAAATTCATTAAAGAAAACATATTTATCGATAGAAATTTGAAAACATTTTTAATCCTCTACAACCTTTACAACAGATATATTAATCATCGTAAATACTGATCATCGTAGAAGTCAACTTAAATGTTATTTGAGTTGCAAAAAGGATTGTTAAACTCTCTGATTTGATCAGAATGATCTCCCTAATGA